TTAGGAATAGAGAAAAATTATCTTAACTTGATAATGAGCATCTGCCAAAAACCTACAGCTTACATCTTACTTAGTAGTGAAAGACTGAATACTTCCCCTAACACCAGGAACAAGGCAAGGATGTCTGCTCTCATGCTCTTATTCAACATAATTCTGGAAGTTATAGACACTGCAATGAGGTAAGAAAAAGAAATTAAAGGCATGAAAATTGGAAAGGAAAAAATAAAACTGTTTCTATTTCCAAACGACTTGTTTATGTAGAAGATCCCAAGGAATCTAAACAAAAAAACAAACAAAAAACAAATCCCAGAACTAATAAGTGACTTCAGCAAGATGGCAGATATAAGGCCAAACCCTCAAATTGCTTACATTTCTATATACTAACAACAATTATGCAGAAATAAAAATTTAAAACACAATACAATTTATAAGCACTCAAAGAAAATGAAATGCCTATACACTTTAAAAAACATATACAATATTTGTATACTAAAAATTACACAAGGCTGATGAAAGAAATCAAGAAAGACCTACATAAATGGAGAGACATACTATGTCCGAGGATTGGAAGACTGAATATGGTAAAGATACCAGTTATCTCCAAATTGATCTATAGGTTTAATGTAATTCCTATCAAAATCCCAGCATGTTTTTTTTTTTATAGGCATAGACAGCCTTATTCTAAAATCTATATGGACAGCCATAAAATTTATATGGGAACATAACTAAAACAATCGTGGAAAAGAAGTCTAAAATGGGAATTATCACTCTCCCAGATACTAAGGCTTACTATATAACTACAGTAATCAAGACAATGTCATATTAGCAGAGGGATAAACACATAAATCAATGGAACAAAATACAGAACCCAGAAATCAACTCACCTACCATACAACCCAGCAATTCCACTCTTGGGTATTTATCTCAGAGAAATAAAAGCTTATCTTCACACAAACACTTGTACACTTGTATATAAATGTTCGTAACAGCTTTATTTGTAATATCAGGAAACAACCCAGATATCTTTTCCCAGGTGAATGGTTAAACAAATGGTGGTACATGAATACCGTGGAATACTACTCAGCAATAAAAGGAAACTATTGATACATAAAACAACTCAGATGAATCTCCAAGGAATTGTGCCAAGTAAGAAAAGCCAATTCCCAAAGGTGATATACTATAAAATTCCGTGTATATAATATTCTTCAAATGACAAAATTTTCTAAATGGAGAACAGATTGGTGCTTGAGAGTTTAGGGATGGGTGAGAGGAGAGGGGCAGGGATGTGGATATGATTATAAAATGCCAACATGAAAGATCCTTATGGTAATGCAACTGGTCAGTATCTTGAATGTGGTGGTGGATACACAAACCTGTACATGTGATGAAATTCCATACAACTACACACTCACACACACACACACACACAAGTATACATGATGCTGGGGAAATCTGAATGAGATCAGTGGAATACATTAATGTCCGTATCCAGCTGTGATAGTGTACTATAGTAAAATGTTCATAAAATGTTACTGTTGGGGGAAATGGAGTACAGGGTACACAAAATCTATTATTCCTTACAACTGCATGTGAATCTACAAGTATCTCAATAAAAGTTTCAATTTACAAAAACCATTTCATATACAATAAAAGAAATTGAACCCCAACAATATGACCATTGTAAAATTTGTGTTATTGTTGTGGGAAATATAATTTACTCACAGAATAATGCCTGTTGAATGACTCGTTAAAAAAAAAACACAAATACACAAAAAGATTGGAAATAAATGAGTGGGAAAAAACTATGAGGCAAACACTAATCAAAACTGATATAGTGACATTAATATCAGCCAAAATAATCTTTATTATGGATGAACATTATTACAGATAAAGAGGGTCATTAATGATGAAAGAAATAATTCTCTGGGAGTATTTAAAAGCCCTTTACTTGTATTACTTAAATAACATAGCCTTGAACAATGCAAAGCAGAAATTAAGAATAAAGGAGAAAGTGACAATCCACAATCTTAGTTGTCAGGGTTGTTTAAAGCATTTTTCTCAGTAACTGATACACCAAAGAGCCAAAATAGTTGTAGACAGAATATGTGAATAACATATGTAACACCCTTTAACCATCAATTATGGAAATGGATGCACATTATCCCAAGGACATATGGAACATTTATAAAAGCCAATCACGTACTGGGCTGCAAAGGAAGATTCAAAATGCCAAAGAATTGATACCTTGGAGCATGGACTAGTTATCAACAGCCAGGAGGCCAAACCCAGCCTGCCATCTGCTTTTGCAAATAAACTGTCATTGGAACACAGCCATACCCATTCATTTACATGTTGTCTGTGGCTGCTATCACACCACAGCGGTAGAGCTGGTTGGTTGCAACAGAGAATATATTAACCACAAAACTTAAAATATTTACTATTGTCCTTTTACAGAAAAAGTTTGCTGACCCCCACCTTGGAGAATGGGTCCTTGGAACACAAAGCAATGTTAGAAATCAGTAACACCCACAGAGAAAGAAATATTTAGAAATTTAAAAAAATCACACTTCTAAATAACTCAAAGATCAAAGAAGAAAGTCTAAATGGAGCTAACAGAATATATCAATGTCTAACGTTGAAATGTACATGTCAAATGATGGAGTGCAGGTAAAATGGAACTCAGAGAAATTCTAGCCTTAAAATGTTAATAGTAGAATATAAGAAAAATTAAAAATTATGTGACAAACGTTCAACTCAAGAAGCCAGAAGAGGATGGCTAACTGATTTGTTACAAGAGTGCCAAGACAGTTCTATAGGGGAAAAACTAATCTTTGCAACAAGTGGTGCTGGAAAAACTAGATATCCACAGGCAAAAGAATAAAACTGACCCCTACTTCACACCATATACAAAAATTAACTCAAAATGATTAAAGACTTAAGTATAAGCACCCAAACTATAGAACTGTAGATATAACATAGATATAAACATAGATATAAGTCTTTGTGAGGTTGGATTAGGCTGTAATTTCTAAAATATGGCACAAAAAGCTTAAGAAACAAAAGAAAAAATGAATAAATTGGACTTCATCAAAACTTAAAACTTTTATGCTTCAAAGGATACTATTGTAAAAATGAAAAGACAGCCTACAGAATAAGAGAAAATATTTGTAAATCGTATGTCTGATAAGGGTCTGGTATCCAGAATATACAAAGAATCATTATAACAGTAAAAAGACAACCCAATTAAGAAATAGACAAAGGATTTGAATAGACATTTCTCCAAAGAAGTTATGTGAATGATTAATAAGAACGTGAAGAGGTGTTTGGCATCATTAGTTATTAAGGAAATGCGAATCAAAACCACAGTGCGATGCCACTTCACACCCATTAGGATGGCTATAACCAACAAGCTTGACAATAACAAGTGTTGAGAAGTATATGGAGACACTAGAACCCTGATACATTGCTGATGGGAATGTAAAATGGTGCAGCCGATTTGGAAAACAGTCTACTAGTTCTTCAAAAGGTTACATATAAAGTGACTGTATGACCCAACAATTCCAGTCTGTGGCATATACCCAAGAGAACTGAAAACATATGTCCACACAAAAATGTATACATTAATGTTCGTACTAGTATTATTCGTGATAGCCGAAAAGTAGAAACAACCCAAATATCCAGCTGAAAGATGGATAAACGAAATGTGGTAGGTCCATGCAAAGGAATATTATCCAGCCATAAAACGTAACAAAGTACTGATACATGCTACGACAGGGATGAACCTTGAAAGCATGCTAAGTAGAAGAAGTCGGACACAAAATGCCACATATTGCATGATTCCATTTATATGAAATGTCTAGAATAGGCAAATCCATAGAAACAGAGAGTGGATTACTGGTGGCCAAGGACTGGGGCAAGGGGTAGACATGGGGAGTGACTGCTAATAGGTTTCTTTTTGGGGTGATGAAAATGTGGAGTTCTATAGTGGTGATGGTTGCACAACTTTGCAAATATACTAAAAACCACTAAATTGTATACTTTAAAAGAATGTCTATTAAGGTATGTGAGTTATGTCTCCAGTTTTGAAAAAAGAAAAGAAGATAGAAAGGAAACATCAGAATAAAATAAGTGAAAATGGAAGGAGGTAATAAAATAAATACAATTAATGAAATCCTAAAAAATGAAAGGGATCAACAGAATCAAAAGCTGATTTTTAGGGAAAAGATATAGAAACTGAAAAGAAAATGCTCTAAGTGAAAATAATGAGGAAGTCTAAGCAAGTAGACTGAAAACAAAAGCTTACGTTGTCTGAACAATTAATAAAATGAGCGCGGATTGGGTTATTAGCATGCCATAGGTTCGAGCGCTTCCACCCCACCTGTCTATCTCTGCTATTTCCGGGGCCACACCTTGGACTCAGAACCTTCACAGAGCCTCCATTTCTTTTCCACGTCCCTCTCTTAAAGGTCCAGCTGTGCCGAGAGACTGGGAAGGGCTGGGGGACTTTATGAGGCTCTGCTTTTTCCAGGGGTTTATCTTGCGAAGAGTTTGTCTTCCCAACATCACAGACTGGTTTACTTTATTTGTCAGACTGGCCAAATTATTTTCAACCTTTGCAACATTGATGGGCATTTGGTCAGGGAGGGGATTGGCTCGGTAAGTTCTCCCAGGTGTTCCCAGCGCTGAGAAGAGGGCACATCCCTGACTCACCTCCATCCTAGAGGATGCCTTGTTGGGGCCCGCTTGAGTCTGAGGATTTCGGGCTGCTGTTGAGCCCCACAGGCCCTTGTTCAAGGCTTCCGACAAGGCAACCTGCTTCCATCATAGCCCTGGCAACCTTACTAACACCCAGGGATTCAAAACCCTGAGCAGACCAAATACCCCCTTTAGAACACAAGTTCTTAACCCCCCTCTTTGTGGATTCATGGATAATGTAGTCTTAACCATAATGTACAGAAGGAATGAAAGGCAGAGTAAACGGCAGCGTGCCTGTCTTGCAGATGGCGAGGAGAATGCCATGCTTCTGCCCAGCCCCAGGACCTCACACGCCAGAGCTGAGACCTTTTCTTCTCGGGTCCGAAGAGCCACAACCTCGAGGACAGAGAGAATATGGCCCGGAGGGGTCATCCCCTACGTCATCGGCGGGAACTTCACTGGTCAGTAGTCCCAAAGGAGGCCTCCTTTTGGGGCTGGGGGCTTTGTCCCCCTAGGTTGACAGTGTCCTCCTCAGGGTAGAGTAGATGCTGGGGCACCACAGTCCTACCTGCTAATGCCCCATTATGCCTTTCAGGGGCTACGAAATGTAGCCTGGCAAAACTGCGGTCTCTGCTGGGGCTGTGTCCTCAAAGGTGGTCACCTAGTCCGCAAGACTTCATGCCGGGGGTCACATAGGATCCTGGTCTTGAAATAGAGACAGGGTTTGCACAATGGGTAGGTGAGCAGAGCCCTCCAGGCAGGAGGCAGCTGTGAGCAGCCGCACGTGGTGGGCTGACCTGGCCTCTGCCTGGGTGCATGCCCTGCACCAGTCCCCAGCCCCGCAGCAATACGCAAGGTAAGCAGAGTGGGCCGTTAGACGTGGCCAATCCTGGCCGTGGCGCTTGCCACTCGTATACCCTGGGGCAAGTCGCTTCACCTCACCGGGCCTCAGTCGCCTCTTCCGTAAGTGGGGATGATAATATTTTCTAGCCCATGGTGTTGTTTTGAGAATTAAACGAGTTAAGCAGATAAAGCACTTGAATAGTGCCTGGCACATAGTAATTAGTAATTGTTTACTATTGGTATTATTATCTTTAAAATATGTATGTCAGCCAGTGGCTTTCCATCACTACTGGTGAGACTGAAGCTCCTGACCATGGCCCCCAAGGCCCTCCTCCAGGCAGCCCTTGGCCCCGTCCCACCCAGTCTCCCACCTGCTCCTGCTCTCTCCTCCTCAGTCCCTTTGTGCTGGCCTCACAGGTACTTCTCCCTTCTGGAACATGCCCAGCTCATTCCTGCCTTAACACACCTGCCCCTGCCCTCTGTCTGCCTAGCACATTCTTTCCCCAGACCTTCTTGTGGTTTCTTCTTATCACTGGCGTCTCAGATCAGATGACATATCCCCAGAAAGGCCTTCTTTGCCTCCCTGGCACCCCCACTAGCCACTTGCTCTCAGCACCCCACTTTCTAGTCTTTATGGTACTTCCCATTACCTGAAATGCTTTGACTTTTATTTTTGTTTCGCCTATTTTTTGTCTCTGCCCAATGCTGTGGGTGCAGGGATCTTTATTCCTGTTGTTTTCATTCCTATGCCTCCAACACCTAGAATAGCGCGGCGACGCGTAGTCGATGGTCAACAGTTATGCCCACAGCAGGCCTGTGGCCCAGGGGTAGTCGAAGGCCTCAGTGAGAAGCCACATAGAGCTGCCTCTTCTGGCCTCTCAATTCTGACTGCATGCACAAGTCGGCTTCATTTCTGCGGATCTATGACTTCTGTGAGAGGCGGTTGATGAGGCAGATGTCCCAAAGCCACTGAAAACCACGGATGAGTAAAGGCGCTGTGATGACGTGGACGACAGGACCTGGGAGCTGACCGAGAGCCTGGAGCAAGGCCTCCCCTTCTCTCTCCCGGCAGCATCACTCCCTTGCCGTTAACCCAGGGCTTTCTCGTGCTGGATACTTAATGAGGTGCTGGTGATAAAAAGATGACCAAAACTTCACCTGCCCTCAGGGAGCTCCCAGTCCTGCTAGGAGAGAAAGCAGTGTGCCTAAAGAATTGAAATACTGGAATTTTAACCAGCTACTTGCTTTTGTTCTCTGGCGCTTAACTGTGTTCTTCTTTCAGATCTGGTGTGCTTTTCTGACCAAAGATTTATATAACCTTCATCAAAGTTAACTAATTTTATGTAGAGAACTTTCTTAACATGGTGGTTTGTGTTATTCTGTAATTAATGGGATTGCTATTTTGGTGAGTGAGCTATAAATGATTTGAACTAAAAAATATCAAGATGTAAAAAAATGGACAACTAGGTTACTCTTTATTCTGTATGTATTTTTGGGGGGACAATATGATATCACACCTAGGTCTTCCAGACTATGATGGAAGCCTCCCCAGTGCTTTGTTTGTTTTTGGCAATGAGGTCATTCTAGAACTCAGACCCCACCCCCAACCGTCCTTTGTATCCCCCCAACAACTATTTTTCTAGATCCTTCTCATTGTTTCTAGGAAAATCAAAATAGTCTTCTTTATCTCAGATTGATAGATTTTTTTTCTTTTAAAGAATACATATTAACTGTAAGTAACTATCAGCCAGAATTTACAACTACTTTGTTCTTGCTCCAAGACAATTTACTTATTGCTCTATTTTTCAACACATTTCCACTCAAGGAAATATGAAGACATGTTCAGAGAAAGTATGAAATTCACCTGTTTTCAAAGGCTTTATAGAAAATGAGGCTCAAGGATCCACCAGAAAACACTGCAGCCCCATGCAAAAGTAACATGAATGTACATGAAAACAAACTTTTTAGAGCATATGGACCCATGCTCCTGTAGATATAAAATAAAATGAGGCTGCAGAATGCAGTGCTGGTGAGCTACTTCAAAAGCCTAAAATTTTCAAATTGAATAATCTGGGTAAGATTTTTTGTTTTAAGTTTAGAAAGAAGTACTCTCCATTCAAAGGAAAAGCTGGAGAGCCTGGGATATTCTGAAAATCTATTTTTACCCTCTTTTCCATTCATAACTCTTACTCTCTGAGTTTTGGTAATTCAGGAAGGTTATATTCTTAGCAAGGGAAATCCTTATTCCTAGTGCATTTCTATTCTGGGTCACCCAACGTTCATTGGAACAAGCATTGTTGTAAGTCAGCATGCCTTACGGCATCTGAGGGAGGCATGGACCCATCAGTGCAGTGATGAGGCTTGCCCTGTCATTTCAGGAAGCCAGAGGGCCATTTTTAAGCAGGCCATGAGACACTGGGAGAAGCACACCTGTGTGACCTTCATAGAAAGGACTGATGAAGAGAGCTTTATTGTGTTCAGTTACAGAACCTGCGGGTAAGTAAGCACAAGCAAGGCCACCTCAACAGAATCAGAGCCAGACAATCGGATGGCTCATGAGTGTTGAATTTTCTCTGTAAAACCAAGTCTTTCCAAGGAGCTGTGATAAACAGCAGCCTGGGGTTTGTCAGAAACTCTCCTTGCCCCCAGTGAACTCACAATCCAGTGACAAAGTAGGCGGGTCAAGAAGACTCTAGAAAGACAAGGGGTCTGGATCTCCTGTCGTGGGAGCAATTGAAGGAATTGAGGGTGTTTCATATGGAGAAGTGGTTCTGAACCAAGCTATGGGCTCCCTCATGACAGATATACATTTATGCAAAATTTTGCACGTAATTTTATGGGCTCCATGGGCTAACAGACTTCCTCCAGAAAACATAGCAAACAATAAGATGCCTGGATTATGACTAAACTTATCTGTTATGCCAGGCAATGTAAGTGTGATGCAATCTCCCACTGAAAGAAAAAGTTTCCCATACTGGTTCAAATACCTCAACCCAACTACATGGTATATGCATGAAATGACTACTGAAGAGAACGACCCAGAAAGGTTACATGTAAAAGGAAAGAAGGCACACAGGCAAACGCTGACAAAAAGAATGTTAGGATCATAATTTTAGTTATAGACAAGGCCTTTTTTGTTTCGTTCTTGTTTTGTTTTTAAAGTCGGAAAGTGTTTTAAAAAAAAGGTGAGACACTTTATAATGAGAAAGAGTCCAAGCTACAGTGAGAATATAACCATCATAAATCTTTATGCACCAAATGGTGCAGCATTAAGAGTCATAAAACCAGCCCCAGGGAATTCAAGGGGAAATCGACAGAAACACCAGCAGCAGTGACTTTATTTCATTTCTGTCAACCCAAGGAGATCAATGTCAAGTTGACCAAAAAATAAGTAGAGATTTGTAGATGATTGGAAAAATATAACTAATAGAGTTGATCCTATGGGTCTATCAGATTCTGCAATCTGATAACACATCTTTTCTAAGTGCGTGTTGAACATTTATAGACATTGTCCATCTGTTAAGCATGAAGAACACCTCAATGGATTCTCAAAGGCAGAAATAGCATTAACATATTCTCTGATTGCAAGGCAATAAGACTGGACATCATAACAAAAGTAGAATAAATACTCCTGCATTACATAGTAAGTTAAAAGCTCCATTTTTTTGTTTGTACAACTCTTAGGTCATAAAGAAATCAGGATCAATATTACAAGCTATCTAGATGATAAAAGCCCTACAATTCTAAGTTAAAGAGATATGGCTAAAGCTGTGTGTATGTGCGTGTGTGTGTGTGTATCCCAACAGCCCACATCAGATTTAACAATGATAATTCTAAAAGCATTTCTGTTAGACTCAGGAACAAGTCGAAGATGTTTATGATCACCACAATTATTTTACACATTTTGGGAAATGCTAGCCAATATAATTAGATAAGAGAAGGAAATACACACAGTAAGTATCATCAGGAGCAAGGAGATGTTTGCATTGTTTGAAGTTAATGTGACATGTACCCCAAAACCCAGAAAAGCAATTGAGAAACTATTAGAAACAAAAGGAGACCCTGTTAAGGTGACTGATTAAAATGTAATAAACAAAAAATTAATTACTTTTCCTTATAATGAAATAATTTGATATGCTTTTATAATGGGAAAAATATCACTTTAATAGAAACATAATAAATAATATATCTAAGAATAAATTTAACAAAAATGCAAAACTATGCCAGACCTATAGGAAGAAAATGCCAAAACTCTAAGGAAACTTAAAAAAAAAGTCAGAATGGAAATGCATACCACTTCCTGGCATGGTGATACTCAACATAGTAAAGATGTCAGAACTTCCTAAAATAATCTATAAATGCATGCTATTGTGATTCAAACATCTACATTTTATGTATATGTGGGTATATGGGTATATATGTTTTTAGAACTTAAACAAATGATACTAGAGTTTATCTGGAGGAATGACCATGTAGAAATAACCAACAGAGAAGGAGAGAGACAGAGACAGAGGCAGAGAGAGACAGAGACAAAGAGAGAGAGAGGGAGACAGAGAGGGAGACAGAGAGAGAGAGGGAGGGAGAGATAGAGAGAACACGGGGACAGAGGGATGGAAGTAGGGTGGGGATTATGGGAAGAGGTCTGATGGTCTATTCAAACATCTAGGGTTTAAAGTGCAAGTGAAGATGATAATAATTAAGACCATTTGGAATGGAGCAAGAGAGTTTAAAATGAATATGCCTATACACAAATTTAGGTAGCATTTTAAATGAGTAAGAGAAACCTGGATTAGTCATTTGGGATATTTTAATACTGGGGTAGACAGCTCGTTGTGAAAAAGATAAAGCTGGATTCCTACCTCACTTTGTACATCAAAATGATTCTAGCTGGATCAAAGATGTAAACATTTTTAAAAGGAAAAAGAAAGAAAGAAAAGAAAAAAATTTAAAAAGTATTCAAAACAAGAAATAAGAGTGGATTTTACTTATAATCTTGGCCTAGAGGTGGCCTTTCTAAGCAGGACATAAGAAAATGAAGACATTACATACATTGAAATTTTAAAATTCTATATGGTGAAAACAAAACCAAAACAACACATAAACAAACAAACAAATGAGAAAGAAAGTGAGACAAATATTTTCAATATATTTGGCAATCAAAAGACTCATTTCCTTAATTCACAAAGGGTTCTTACATATCAATAATAAAAAGATGGACCACCCAAAAGAACATAGGGAGAAGATGTGATCCCATAGTTCACAAGAACAAAAAATACAAATGTCATATAAAACATGGAAAACTATCCAGTCTCGATACAGTGAAATACCATTTTTCACCTATCCAGTTGACAAAAAGAATTTGATAAAACCAGTGTTGGTCGGGTTGTGGGGAAATAGGGCTTTTTAATATATTATTAGTGGGTATATAAGTAGACACATTTGGGGATTGCAATTTGATAGTATCTATCGAAATCTCAAATGCATATACCCTTTTATCTATCAATCCCAATGCTAGGAATTTACCCTGCCACAAACAAGAGTCAATCATTTCTTTGTTTTGCTTGTTGTTATTTGTTTGCTTGTTTTCTCTTCCTTTCCCGTGAGGCTTTGTTTAAATAGTGAAAATTGGAATCAGCCTAGATGTACACTGATAGGAGCCTGATTAAATAAAATATAGTACTTTGTTACTTTGAAAAGAATAAAGGAGGTCTTGGGCGCCTGGGTGGCTCAGTTGGTTAAGCAACTGCCTTTGGCTCAGGTCATGATCCTGGAGTCCCTGGATCGAGCCCCGCATCTGGCTCCCTGCTCGGCAGGGAGTCTGCTTCTCCCTCTGACCCTCCTCCCTCTCATGCTCTCTGTCTCTCATTCTCTCTGTCTCAAATAAATAAATAAAATCTTTAAAAAAAAAAAAAAAGAATAAAGGAGGTCTATATGCACTGTTATAAAAAGATCTCTAAAGTAAGGAGGTAAACGGTAAAAATGAAGGACAACATAAATAGTGCCTTTTGTAATTTAAAAATATGTATATTTAATTTTTCTGAAGGATGCCCAAGACACTATTAACAACGGTTATCTTTGGATGAAGAGATCAGAGGGGGTGAGAGACTTAATACTTCAGTCTATTGAACATGTATTTTTTTGAGACTATTTGAGAGAGAGGGAGAGAGTGGGGGGAGGGACAGAGGGAGAGAGAATCTCAAGCAGACTCCACACTGAGCGCGGAGCCCAATGTGGGGCCCTATCTCACGATGTTGAGATCATGACCTGAGCTAAAACCAAGAGTCAAGACATTTAACCAACTGAGCCACCAGGTGCCCCTGATCATGTTTTTTTTTTTTTTTTTTTTTTAGTGTTTGAGAGAGGTTATCTGGGTGATAAAGGTGGTGGGATTGTGGGCCACTTTAATTTTTTTCCTATACCTTTCTATATTAGGAATAATATATAATAATATATTAGGAATAAATGTTATTTGAAAAAATAATTGTGCCCAGAAGGGGAATCATTGCCAAGACTCCTGTGATAAGGGTACCAAGACTCATGCCTTACAGAAACTCAGCTGACACCTTTCATTATCTCTTTTCCTTGTCATCAGAGATGATCTCGCAGAGACTTGGGGGTGCAGCGGTCAGAAAGGGTATGGGCTTTATTTCAGGAATCTAGGCCTTATCTTTCTTTGGGTTCTCAAGTGGATCCATGACCACCAAAAAGGTGAACCATTTTTGGAGGGCATTTCTGTATTGGGAGGGAACTTGGACAATGAGAGTACTTTCAGCTCTGAAAGTCTGTTTCTTTTAGAGACACGTGTGTGTGCACGCACACACACACACACACACACACACTGGGGAGGGCATTAGACTCTCCTATTCTCTGATCTGCTGATCTGGGTATTTCTGCAACTGTCCAGCTGTTGTTCCTACGTTGGGCGCCGAGGAGGAGGCCCACAGGCCATATCCATTGGGAAAAACTGTGACAAGTTTGGCATCGTGGCGCACGAGTTGGGCCATGTGGTTGGGTTCTGGCATGAACACACCCGGCCAGACAGAGACCAGCATGTCACCATCATCAGAGAAAACATCCAACCAGGTAAGGAGCCAGTATGGAGTCTGGAAGCCACCGGCCAGGAAGGTGGCGTCCCCCGGGGCAGGCAGGTGTGAAGGAGAGGGGATTTGGGGAGCTGACCAGTGCTCATTTGTTAAGTAAGGAGTCAGCAAGCCTATTGTGCAGGCATTTGTGCCCAGCACGGCCACTGTCCTCTGTGGCCCTTCCGGGGAGGTCTTGCCATAGCTTGTAGGTCATAGCAGAAACGAAATGACTTTCACGTTGTAAAGGACAATGAAATCCAACTCCATTTCCTAACAGGAACAGAATGGACCAGAACACACTGGCAGCATCACAGCTGAGAAGCCAAAAAAGGAGTTCTCCTGGTGGCTTTTATGAGTCCCTTTTGCTGACTTCAGCAGCACATCTTTTTGAAACTGAAATACAATTAGGACACGAGTACCTGTGGCTGCAGTATTTCTGCCTGGGAATGTTCTGCCCCAAGGCAGATAGAGTGTCTAGATTAAACAAACAAACAAACAAAAATCTCATGTTAAATAATTTTTTTTTTAAAGATTTATTTATTTATTTGAGAGAGTGAGAATGAGAGAGTGTACATGAGAGGGGGGAGGGTCAGAGGGAGAAGCAGACTCCCTGCCGAGCAGGGAGCCTGATGCGGGACTCGATCCAGGGACTCCAGGATCATGACCTGAGCCGAAGGCAGTTGCTTAACCAACTGAGCCACCCAGGCGCCCCTCATGTTAAATAATTTTATATGGAAGTCCATAAGGAACATGAAAGTAGCTGACTGAATAATATGGTTGCCTTAAAATGCTTCTGAGAGTCTGAATTGTGAACAATTTGGGATTGAACTTAACTCCCTGATTTTTCTTTTGTTCTTTCAGTAGCAAGATCAGAGGTTTATTTGTTTTTTAAGTTTCTGAGCAATCCGATCAATAATTAACTTGTCTACAAACTTGGCATAAAAGTTTCGAGCGGCACCTGGGGAGGGGTTGTTGGGTGGTGGGGTTGGGAGAACCTAGGGCTGCTCGAAGTTGCACATTTCCAGTCTGTTAAAACCAACGAGAACGACCACACCCCTGCTATTTGATTGGGCCAACTGAGCTCTCAGGAGTTGCCATGGGCCCTCCTTTTCCCCCTCTGCCTCCTTTCAGGTACCTGCCTTGGTTTTCAAAGGCCTTAACAGAGTGTTGTGTCACAGGTCAGGAGTATAATTTCTTAAAAATGGAAGCTGGGGAAGTGAGCTCTCTGGGAGAGACGTACGACTTTGACAGCATCATGCACTACGCCCGGAATACCTTCTCAAGGTCGGAATCTATGCTTCTGCCTCATGTGTGTTTTGGTGTGGCTGCCGCAGGCTTGGGTCGGATTCCTGGAGGTCTGCGGAGAGTGGGTCTCTGCATGCTTCTCACACAGTTGGCCTGTCTGTCCTTGAAATACAGTGGCCTCTGGGCTGCAGCGAAATATAATCTAATCAGGTTCCCGCTAATAAGATTGAATCCCATTGTGAAGCTGGTGTTCCATCATGGGCTAATGTCACAAGCAGCAAACTGGAAAGGGGAAATTATCGAGAGGTTGGCCGAGATAATAACTTAGAGGCTCTGTGTAAAATTTCCAGGGGGTGGGGAGTCTTCTAAAGCACGTCCTTGATGTAAGCCTGGTGGTGCTCACCGGTTCTCTCAAAGAGGTGTGGTTTATTGGTTCAGTTTCAAAAAGACGGTATGAGAGCTGGGAGGGTTGTAAATCGTGGTTGTGAATCATTCGAGGTGAAGAAAATGAGGCTCCAGCCAGCTCGAGGGCACACAGGTAACTGGGGTCGGAGTGAGAACAAAGATCCAGGTTTCCTGCCTGCTGGTCACGCTCGATGGTGGCCCATGTATACTCAAGTATGGCCAGACTGGTGATTTACAGCCGGCATCGGCAGGGTCTGTTTTGATAAGTTATTGCTGTGCTAGACTGGGTGTTAAGTATTTCCAATATTGCCCTTGCTTCTAGACCATATGAGTGTTTTGTATAAAGAAGTTTTCTGTCACTAGTCCCAGTGTTGTGGGTCTTTCTGAAACCCTTGAGTTAGAGGAGACATGGTAAATATTTTCTCTCTTGGCATTTTTTTCTCAGTTTCCTCTTAAAACTAGCTTGTTTGCTTTTTATTTATCTATTTGATCACTGAAAAAAAAGATTTTTAAAAAAGATTTTATTTGTTTATTTGACAGGGAGAGACACAGCGAGAGAGGGAACACAAGCAGGGGGAGTGGGAGAGGGAGAAGCAGGCTTCCCTCTGAGCTGGGAGCCCGATGTGGGACTCGATCCCAGGACCCCGGGATCATGACCTGAGCCGAAGGCGGACGCCTAACGACTGAGCCACCCAGGCGCCCCCCCCCCAAAAAAAGATTTGAAATGGTTCCCAGTATATACACAGGACAAGAAACAGATGTATGAGGAAACTTGAGGATGGCGGAGGGGAAAGTAAGGGTAGAGAGCTACACTGAAGCCTGGAATCAACTGACTATTCAGAATACATGCCATAAAGTCATGTACTCTTTGGTGGGATTGGCAGCAAATCCTGCCCTGTGCTTCTTAGCAGTTATAGCAAAGAGGGAAACAATCCACTTCATGAGTCGCTATGTCCATAAAGATCAAAGGAAACCGTTCTTTCAGGAAACACACCGCTCTTGGGAGTGAACGGGGAACTGTGTACCCAGGACTTGTTGGCTCTTGGGTAGGGATGCTGGAAGCATGCTGTTGATGAGGTCACAGAACTGGGGGAGAGATCCTCCAAACCACCATATCACAAGTTCTCAGTTGCGGGGGGAGTGGGGTGCTGTCCCTCTGGCCACGCAGCTGATTTAGCTGTGATCTCCATCCTGCATGCACCCAGCTGGGATCTCTCCAGAACTCTAATGGGTGGAGTTTTGTCAAAGTCAGCATCTTTGAACTGGCATGGGACTGACTGACCCTGTTCTTGTTACTCTTCTCCTGGCTCTTTATTAGAGGATACATGTAATGAAGAGACCACTGAATTAAGAGTCAAAGACTGGGTTCCAGTCCTAGTGCTCTCACTCACTGTGCTATTGAGGGATGTGTAGACAATAATTGCGGATAGCTTTGTGCTGGGTCAAATCTCCACCTCCCTGGGTATCAGTTTCCTCATGAGAGGGTTGGATTAGATGTTCTCTGAGCCTCTTCCAGCTCGAACATTTCCTGTTGTGATTTCTTAATCTGGTGTGGATGGGTGAGGCTCTGACAGATGGGGTCACCTTCATTGCCATGTGGGCATTCAAGGCTTCCTCTTCCACATTGGGAAACAGAGACTTTGAAGGACCTACCCTGGTGGGGGCATCTCTGGGGAGTCTCAAGAAACAAGGTGGTGGGCAGGATGAGAGTCCACCCTACAGAGGTCAGAGTGGGATGCTTGGGTGTGGGGGCTGGGCTGACTTGCGGGTTTGGGAAATGGTGTAGGAAATATGTGGGTCAGACCACATCAGCCCTGGGGTTGCAGGCTGCTAAGTAGAGACAAAGTATTGATTTTGTAGAGAACCACTGTCAAGTCGGCCCAAGTGAGAAGTTTGTACCTTGGGTCTTGTTTCCATAGCTGTCCTAACTCTTCATTGCTTTATAATTTGTCCATTAATTATTATTATACATTCATCTACTCCTATTTATCTGTTACATCCCTCTCTCCCTAGACTAAGATCTGAGATCTTTGAGGGCATCCTCTTCTAGTTTCCAGCACCAACCATGATACCTGGCACAGAGTAGATGTTCGATGAATACTTCTTAAAAGAATAAATCAATGAATGAATCAAAGGAGACAGGGAGATCTGAAATGCTGGGAACTAGGTGAGGGAAGAAATTTCCATTATCCTCATGCATTTCTGTCCACATACCCACAGATGTGGTGGTCATTTCATAAGGACGATCTACAGACATCTCCTATGAAGGGGGTTTGGGGATAAATTACCTCCAATGGGCTGTAGGAACTCACTGCCTCCCTGGTACCTTCCATGTGCCAATTACCATGAAAAGCTCTGAAGCCAGAGGCCAGGGCAAGAATGCAGATAGTGTCTTCTGGTACCAGCATTTCTTTCCTTTTTTTTTTTTTTTTTAAGTAGGCTCCACCCCTAGCACAGAGCCCAGCACGGGGCTTGAACTCACGACCCCACGATCAAGACCTGAGCTGAGATCAAGAGTCAGATACTTAACCGACTGAGCCACCCAGACGCTCCAAGGTTTTATTTAAGTAATCTCTACAGCCAGTGTGGGGCTCGAACTCACAACCCTGAGATCAGGAGTTGCATGCTGCACCGACTGAGCCAGCCAAGCACCCCCTTTTCTTGTTTTTCTTTTAAGAAAAAAAATTTTTCTCTTCCTGTGATCTGTAGCTCATAATACCATCCCTTTTGCCCCTCAAGGAGATAACCGTTATTAACACTGTTGTCAACGGGGAGCAGTTTATCAGCACAGACCAGTGGAAGCCCATGGACCAAACCCCTGAAATAATAGCTCCCCATCAAGGGGACCCAGAACCCCTCAGAGGGAGATGGGCGAGGGGGCGGTGCTCAGGTGTGCTGGGCAGCCAGGTAGGAGCACAGCAGCTCCCCTGAAGGCCTCGAAGGGAGGCAGACGTCTCCTGCCACCATGATGTCATTAGTGTAACAAGACAGTCTACCCCTAAACTAATGGCTCACAACAATAACTTATTTTTTGTGACATTGTGGGTCATTCTGGCTCATTCTCTCTGGTTTTGCCTGGGATGATCTCCACAGCAGTAGTCATGTGGCAGTGACACTGGCCTTGGAAGTCCAGGATGGTGGGCGCCATGTGTGGTCTTTGTGCTGCCTGTCTGCCGGGGGACCCCTCGGTTCTCCTCCCAGGGGCCTCTCATCCTCGGGCAGGCTAGACTGGACTCTTCACTGCTTTGGGACTCAGAGTTCCTGCAGGACAAGCGGGGAGGCCGCAAGACTCTTAAGACCCAGGCTCTGGAACTTACAGGACATCACTGTACAGCTCGTTCCATTGGCCGAGCAAGGTGCAAGACCAAGAATATGGACAATAGGAGGTGCAATTCATTATTTTAACATTCTACCACAACTACTTGCTTACCCCACCCCAGAGTTTGGAATGATTTTGGCAAATCTATTTTGTGGCAAGTGGATACCTTCATTGTCCTTTCTGCCAGTTTCCTTCATGGATTTTCAGGAATAAATTACTTCCAATGGGCTGTAGGAACTGTAGGCTTTTTTTTTTTTTTTTTCAGGAAACTACTTGGTTCAGTGGGACATTTATCAATGTTCTCCATACTGATGGTCTTTCCTGGCCCACTTTTTGTCAAGTTTCACACTCCCTAACTCCACGTCATTACTCCTGGCCATACATCCCCTGCAGTTAGCCTGTACATTGTCTTTGAGTCTGTTGAAGAGCAGAAAATGGCCTATAGAACACATGCTCGTCTGGAGGCAAATGCTCTTCCTGCTGATGGGAAACCCAGTCTTTGTGTGTCTTTACAATTGATCTCTCTCCTTCCGACTTCACTTTCTAGTTTATTGCAGGCCCTCCCTCCTCCCCCTTGGTTGGACCTGGGCTGTGGGGAGTGATGTCTCTGCAGGTTTCGTTGGACAAGGGTCCAGGAGCTGAGGAGACAGTTCTGTGGTACAGAGGTGTCTTTGTTTGGAGAGCTCAGAGCTGACAGCTTTAGTCTCCGAAGCACCTGTCAAACCCTTTCATAGTTTAGCGGAATGTCAACGCTAAGAGTTGTCCTACATAAGAGGGATGTCACTGCAGCAATTCACACAGTGACACCTCTCGTAGTAAATACCTTCCAGAGCCTGCCACCTTGCTGGCAGCTCAGGGACAAGTCGGGGAGGGAGTCCCAGCCCCCAAATGCTGTCCCGAGTGTGAGCTGATGTTGTTCCTGCTGTTTCGGTGTCTGAAGTCTCCCACATGAAAGCCGACTGTTTCTTGGGCAGTGGGAAACACTGGCTGGAAGGAGGAGGATGTGGGAGATGGGCTCCAGGCCTGCCTGGGTTCCAGGGCTGGCTCTCCATTACTAGCTCTGGACTCTGGGAGAGATACTTAAGTTCCGCGGGCTTTTTCTCACCTGTCGGGAGGAAGCCCTAATAAGAATGGCACCCACATAGAATGGCCCTGGCAGAGTCACCTGTGAGCCGTGGGCTTCAGCGGGGCGGCTGGCCCGGGTTGCTAAGAGATTGTGGTGAGGTTTACATTTTGCGCAGCAAAATTTCTTTCCTCAGAGGAATCAAGAAAATAATTACAAGTGAACACATTTTACGTTAGGGCAGAAGTGCCTCTTTTTAGATTTAGTAAGTGATTGAATTTAGAATTTTATGGAGGTTAATTACTTGTGGTTTAAAATGTGACAAAGTCAGTGAGGGAAACCAAGGATTCCACTAAATTTTCTCTAGAAGGCTCTGGACCCAGAGATGAGGCAGTAGGAATTGGAGAAAGATAGGCCAGGTGGTTAAAGTTCGGAGATAGGGATGCTTCGAAGGAAACTGGCAGATGATCCAGGCTCCTGCATGCTTCTGTCGGAATGAAAGTGAGCTTGATGTCTGACTTAGAAAAAGTATATGCAAAACCAGAAAGATAATCTTTGTAACCAGCAAGAAATAGGGATAATAGGTTTTCCAAGGTAGTGCAGAATTTAGGGGAGAGGAAATGTTTGGGGGGGGGTAGAAAGGACAGTACAGCTAATATATAGGTATGTTTTCACATTCCCTTTGGGTGTACATTACTTTGCAAGATTTTTTGAAGACACTGCCCTACCTTGGTTACATAATTTAATTCAAAAAGCATTTCTTGACCTGTTAGCTCCAGTCCCTGAGGGCATAGAGATGAAGGTCTTGGTCTCTCTGCTTGAGGAACTTACTATTTAGCAGAGAAGACAAATACCTTCATCCTTCAAAAAAGACACTAGAGTATGAGAAGAAGAGACTAGACATGTAAGGCCCAGAGGCAGCCCAGAGAAAGGAATGAGTAACTCAGGATGGGAGGGATAAAAAGGGCTCAAGAAGACTTTTAAGAGGGAAAGCCGTCTGATAGGGTTTTGGTGAATGAACGGGAGTTTGCTAGTGAACAAGAAGATGGGCAGTGGGCAGCCTAAACAGAGGACAGCCTGTGTAAGGGCATGTTTGGGGCTAGCAGAAGTTCAGTGATGCTTAAGATACCAAGTGGGGTGGAGGTGTCAGAAGTGGCTGGAGAGGAAAGCAGAGGCCAGTGAGCCCAGGGCCTGGGGATCCAGGTGGTGATCAGAGATCAGGGGGGGCTTCTAAGCAGAGAGGACACAAGCCTGCCCTTGCATTTCCGGACGATCCCATTGCAGCGTTAGAGGGGTGGCACAGAGGTGGCTGAGTCCACAGGGAGGGAGGCCAGTTAAGATACTAGGGAGAACTCAGGAAGGGGATGTTGTTTGTCTGAGCCGAGGTCTGGAACGAGGAGGAAGGCATGGATTCAAGGCACGACAGAAAGTGCTTGGTGCCTTTGGATTCAGTCTTGGGAGACAAGGTTCATGGGGTGAGCATGGATATGAGACCCAGAGGACAGTGTGGTAGAGGGGTCACCAGGCATCTGGGGCTTAGCAGGTGATTCTGGGGGTCAGAATCAGAGAACTCTCTGTGAATCTCTCCGTGGTGGCGAAAACCCAGAGGAACCCATGGAGCAGGTGAGGAGGAAGAAGACAGAAACTCCAGGGAGAGCCCAGAGGGGGAAGCAGAAGTGGATGTTCACTTGCTGCTCAGAGACAGCGGAGCCCTGGGAGCCAGGGGACGAGAGGCTGAGGAAGGAAGGAGCAGAAGAGTGTCAGCGCTGTCAGGGAGGGCAGGTGGGGGTTGACAGGTGTCCATCAGAGTCGTCAGTCGGTTGGTGGCTGCAGACCATGGCGGTGCAGTCTGATTGCGGTTGCTTTGAGGAGTGAATGAGAGGTGAGCAGCCAGACAGATGGAGACAGTTCTTTCCGGAAACCTGGTTAAGAAGGGAGGGAAGAAACAGGTAACTGGAAAAGGAACTGGTTCGGAGGGAGGCCCTCCCTTCCAGGAGAGGCCCCTGCATCGGGGGTCTGGAGGCAGAGGAGGAGGCTCAGGCAGGGGTCCACCAGGCCCACGTCATGGAGGTGTGAGCCCAAACTCAGCTGGGCAGCCTGCTGTCTGCTCCTCTGTTCTGGTCATTTTCGATTTCCTTCATGCGGGAATAGAATAAGATGTTAGAGCTGGAAGGGACTGCTAGGACTGTCTAGGCCACTCTCTTACTGTTAGAGAAGTAAACTGAGGCTCAGGGAGGGGAAGGGGCTTGTCCGAGCTCACCCAGGTGGCCGAGCCAGGCCGTACATGGAAATCTCTAAACCAGGGATCTCTCAGCTACCCTTTGCTCTCTGCATTCATCTCACTTTCCATCTGATCATCGCCATTGCCAGAAAGGCCCCCAAACCCTGATTCCCATTATTCACCAAACCATCAACCAGCACTAACTGACCAGCCCCTGAGAGCCTCACACTGTGCTGTTTCCCGGGCTCTCTCTGGAGCCTCTCCAAGACTTATCCATGCTCAGTGGTGCCCGTTGCACACCTCCAGGGGGCTCCACGCACACCTAAGTCTCTCTGAATGGTGCTCCCCACCGTTGTACAATGTGGCAGCCCAGGGGCCAGGGACATCGATGTGGTTATGGGCAGGGAAATAAAGACTGTACATCCCGGCGCGGCCACCAGCCAGCCTTGACTTTTCTCTCTCCTTTCTCTCTCTCTTTTCTTCCTGTAGAGGAGTTTTCTTAGACACCATCCTCCCCCGCCGAGACGACAATGGCATCAGGCCAACCATTGGCCAGCGCGTGCGGCTCAGTCAGGGAGACATAGCTCAAGCCAGGAAGCTGTACAAATGCCCAGGTAACTGAATCCTGGGGAGTCCCGGGGCCTCAGTAGCACCCTCGGAGCGTGACTCAGCCACCCTTTGCAAACTCGCCCCCTTGCCGGGAAAGCGGCTTGGGGAGCCTGACGAGGCTGCTGTAATTTCTGGCGTGCGGCTCTCAGGAAGGCTTTAGACAGTGTAGGAGGCCCAAATGGGGGCGGTCATTGCCCGTAGTGACACGAAGAACAGGTCTGGGAGCTCACGGCTTCACTTGTGGGAATCTTCGGAATTCTCTGGCACAGCCCTGATAGTCTGAAGAGGAAGAAGCCCTAGGGGAACAACAGGGAACAAGGACCCAATGCAGTGTGCGCCTCATAACTATAAAATCCCTTCCCCTTCCTATGGGAGTAGGAGATGTGGGTTTGCCGAAACAAAAACCAAGGGTTTTGCAGGAAGACCGTGAATGAAGGGCAGTGTTTATAGAAGCGGGGGTAGTCAGCCTCCCACAGCCTCAGTGCTGTAAATGAGGTTGTTTCTATGGCCTTGGGGCTTTCCTAGCCATCCAAGGTGCTGGTCATTGGCTAGAAATCTGCCATCGGAGCCTGGGCAGTACCCTGGGGTCTGAGGAGATGTCTGCTTCTCCGCCCACCCACAAGCCCCTTCCCCTTGAATGTACCCTCTTTGCCTTCCATCCCCTTGGCTTCAGCATCACCTCCCCCTGCCCCCCCCCCCCAGCCCCAACCTGCTGCCCTGGGAGGGAGCTCACACTGGCCCCTTTAAGCTGTTGAGCTTCAGTGCAAAGCATTAGTTATAGCAGCCAGGGTTTACCACCGATGGGAGAGAACGCAATTCAGTAGTTTGGGGAGGAAGAAGGAAATTCATTACCCACAGGTCCAGTAACATTTTCCAAACCCCAGACCAGACACACAGTTTGATCGTGGGACAGCATATTTGAAACAGGGGCCATCTTAGAAAATCTAGGCTGTCAGCATGCGAAGGACTCTGTGGGGTTTGGTCCATCACAAAACTCTAGGAAATACGTCCATCCAGCTATTAGTCATGTGGGGGCGTGTTAGGGCTGAAATGTAGGACACACATATCATATAACCTTGCTGAATTGAAAGAGAAACCTTATAGCATTCTCTGGAAAATGCCATAGTATTTATTTAGTTATAATGTATATGCCTCTTACTTCCCCAAAGGATTGGAGGCAGCTGGTAAATACCATGGAGCCTTATAGTAATGTATCTATTCTTGCAGAATGTTGATGATTATTCTAAAATAATTTCCGTGGAACCCTTGGGGGTGTTGACTGCCGGGCATAATCCTCATGATGCCTGGCAGTTGTTCGGTAACGTGATATTGAAGCCCCGACATCCAGGATTTCCTGAGGCTGATGACGGGCCGCTCTCTAGCTATTCCTTCCTGCGGCTCCCAAACTGCAGCTTCCAGTAATTTCAAGTAGTAACTAAAAGTGGGGTCTTTGCCGAGTGGAGGTTGGATTGCATGTAGGCAGATATGGGTAAGGATGTTTGTTTCCCACACTTTGGGGGCGACCCTTGGGAAGAGGGGCATGCAGCAAACCAACGTCTTTGTCTTTGGGGTCTGAGTCCCCGGGGGTCAGGCGGTAAGGAACCTGCAGCTCCCAAGCTTACTCATATGAGGTACCTTTTTTTTAAGGACAAATTAGAGGAAATATTTTTCACATACATAAGGACTAGGTTCTGGACTTATGACCAGGCGACCCTCAAACATTCAAGGGCGGAAGAGCTTCCCATACCTCTGGTCTTTGTGTTTTCCTGACTGTTTATTTGGTAGCTCATTCAGAGATAGGTAGCAGAAAAAGAAGAGTCAAGATTCAAACTAAGAAGTTTCTCATGAAATGAGTTTCCAAGTGTTTTCTTTGTCTTGTTGCTTCACCTACTTGTACTTTGTGTGGCGCACGCACTGTGTGCCAAGCACCGAGCTGATCCATGTCATTAACCCTTCAGGCAGCTCCTGCCCATTTTACAGACAAGAAAACTAAGGCCCAGCAAGGCTGGGAAACTTGCCCACCATGCTCAAGGCCATGCTCAATCCTGAGAGCCTCAAAAGGAACCCCTAGGTCTTACTTTTTGGCGCCCAGACCCTATTTCCACTTTTATTAGCCAGAAAAAATTTGTCGATCTGCCTGACATGCTTCTCACCGATGCATCCCGAGGGCTTTGGCTGGTCAAGGGCTGTTGCTTGCTCAGCAGCCTGGCGCAGGGAGCTGCTTAGGTGGGGAGCGTGTCTGCCCAAATCACAGTCATTGTTTTGCTTGTGCAGCGTGTGGGGAGACCCTGCAGGACACAACAGGAAATTTTTCTGCACCTGGTTTCCCAAATGGCTACCCTTCTTACTCCCACTGTGTCTGGAGGATATCGGTCACTCCGGGGGAAAAGGTAGGTGTGAAACCACCTCAGGAAATGACATAGCTTTCTTTAGTTGGGTAAGGTGTGGGGCCTTGTACTCTTATTAATAGTAGTAAGAGCAGCTCTTACGCTGTGAGCACCCACTACGTACCAGCCGCTGAGCTAGCTTGCCTAACATGATCTCTGCACTTTCAGCCAGGATCATACAAACGGCGGCCTAGAAGCAAAATGTCCACGTGAATTAGAGATCAGGCTCACAGTTTGTAAAACAAAGTAGACTCTATCCTTCCTCCTTGATAAATACACCATCAGAATGCCTTGGAAGGCGAGGATCCAATTGAGAATTCCTTGACACCTCAGAGTGTTGCTCTGGAAGGAGCAATGTGGGGAGAGCTAGCCCCAACCCACAGCCGGCCCCTCCTTCTCTTCTCAGCCCCCCATTTCATCTCAGGAGCACCCCTGGCAACACTCCAGCCCACTCTCCCAAACACTCCGCACTCCTACCTTGCAAACAGCTATTCCTCCAGTAGAAGCGGGCTGGTTAGATGTGCTGTCTACTCTGGGAGTGTGGATTCAGGGCAGAGATCTCTGCATGCTCTGGAAGTGGGCTCAAGGCCATTTGGACAGGAACTCCAGGGTCCTGGGCACCTGGAGTGAGGTCTAGGAACTATGCAAGCTCTGGGTGAGCACAATCCTTTGGGTCTGAAGATTCCATGATTCCCTCCAGATTCCCTGTAGAGCTGAGCCAAGGTAGCAGCTTCTTTTGCCCTGGTCCAAGGGTGGTATGTTCTCAAACCTACTGCAGGATGCATCTCTATATCCATTATATGGATAAGGAATTTGAGGCTCAGACATTTAAAAAATTGCCCAAATTCACAGTAAAATATAGAACTGGGACCTGGGGCTTCTGCATTCCTAAAACTTGTGTGTGTGTATGTGTTTTCACACCTCCCTTCAAATCCAAGACTAGACTCTGATGTCTTTGAGATGCCCTCTCCATCCCTTGGGTCAGGTTCCATACAGTCATACCTGTCGAAGCCTGTCTCACAGTATCTTGACTGCTGGTTTATTTGGCTGTCTGCCTTCTCGACCCTAAACTCACTGAGGACAGAGACTGTTCACCCCGAGGTCTCCAGCACCCAACACAGCCCGTGGCACATAGTCACACAAAAAGTATTTGTTGAATGGGCATGTGAATGGATGAGTGGCCAAGTGAAAAACCTGCATCCCCGTGGGGGTGATGGATTTTTGGATGCCTGTAGCCAACCTTCAGGTAGTCCTAATTCATAACCATTAAAAATGTCCATTTAAATGTTTTCTATGGCCTGGGTGCTTTTCTCAGCATATTATGTGGATTATCTCTTTTAATCCTCAGAACTTCATGTGATAGGTGCTATTAACACATTAATTCTTCAGGTAAGGAAATGGCCTTGCCTAAGTCTACTCAGTTTGTTGCAAAGTTGGGATCTGAACCCAGGTGAGAACCTGGATGCTTAGCCATCATCCTATATTATTTCACAAAGGGGTCAGGCTAATAGGCATTTGAGCATGCATTCACACACACATGCTCACGTATACGTGTGCTCCCACACAGCACCCACATGCAACTCTTCCTCTGGCTCTAAGCATTTATGACAGTGTGGTTGTCATCTTGAGCCTGAGAGACTCCAGGCTTGTCTTTCTCAGGTGGATGTACCACCTCTGTGCCTGCTGGCAGCGTCGAAGAGAGGGAGGCAGGAAGAAGGAGGAGGACGTGATCCAGCAATCCCCAAATCGTTGAATTGCCTGACAGAGCAGAGGCTATGTGATGTGTTTGAACTGCACAAGATTCATCAAGCCTTATGGGGGGCAGGGAGAATATACAGCATTGAACTTCCTGTACCAATTATTTCCATTTCTGCTTCACCCAGCCTTCCCCAGAGCTGCTAGTAATTAGCAAACTTGATTGATTCAAGTATCACCTCTTGTTTATCACCTCTTCTCCTATGGTCTTTATGGTGCCCTTACATATTTAAAATAATTAGCCTGAATAATTATCCCATTCAGTTCGATCATGAATGTGTTACTAAGGAAGTTGTAATAACATTTTCTTTCTGAAAATTTGAAAAGCTAAAGTATTATATTGCAACCAGCTAGTCAATATGACTGAGCCCTTCTGCCTGAACATGAGCACAGTGGGAGATAAAAAAGAAATCTAATTTACAATCCCTGTCTTCAAGAGACTTAGAGTTTAGTTTAGGGTCCCCCCTACCCTTACCTCTAGGGAGTCTGATTTCATTGAAGGAGGGGCATTTGCTTGGCCCTGTATTATGTTTTGCACTTTTGAGGTGGTACTAGTCTGCAAGCAGCATTGAGAACTACTGGTGTAGTTTGAAAGAAGAATGACAACTCACACACACACACACACACACTGTACAACACAGGAGAGGAGCTGGCCTATTATTTTCCGGTCATCCCTCTTCATTTCATAGGAGATCAGAGGGCTTTGTGGAAGAAGGTGCTACTTGTCCTGAGACCTGAACATTGGGTGGGATTGGCCCAAAGGAAGGGGTGGACACTCGAGGCTAATTAAGACAGGCAGCCTGTGAAGTGTACTCAGGGTGTCGGTTTGTGGAGCACTAAGTGTGCACTCAGTGTGGCTTGATTTTTTAAAGCTGCATTTATTGAGTGCCTATTATGTGTCAGACATAGCATGATACACTCAATATACAGTTTTTCATGCAGCCCATCAATAACCCAATGGTGTGCATGTTGTTTCGCAGAAAAAGGAAACTAAACATCCAAGCGGGCAAGTGAGCGGTAGAGCTAGTAAGTGGTAGTCTGATCTCAGAGCTAGTAAGTGGTAGAACTGAGAAGTCCAGATCTGCCTGACTCTAAAAACACCTGCTCCACAGTCACTATAAAAGGCCGGGGAGGGGGACCCGAGGAGGGAGAGGCTGTGTCCATTCGGGCAGTCAGAGAAAGACTCGGGGAGGAAGCAGAGGGCACTGGACCTGGGCCTGGGGAAGCTTCCATTAACAGGATCCCTCAGGGCACGTGGGGAAATAAGGTCACATAGGATGGACGCTGGAGGCTCTGGAAGGTAAGCAGAGAGTTTAATTAATGGGATGGAGGCAGGGAGAGCCACTGAAGTTTTCTGAACATAGGAGGGGATAAACATGAGATGTAAGTGCAAGATTGATCTAGAAGCCCTAGAGCGCAGAAGGGGCCAGGGCACGGCAGGGAGGAGTTCAGAAATCATGTCGGCAGGAGTGATGGGGACAGGCTTGCGGCAGGGCACACAGACATCTTAAGGGAAGGAAGTCTGTCAGCATCGGGGATAAACAATAGGGGTGAAGTAGAGATGACAGCAAGGGGCTGCACCCCGGTGCCTGGTGTCACCTGCGCACAGGGAAGCCGGAAGGGAAATGCTGCTGCACTGAGGGGCCCTCACAGTCACCAGGGAGCGGGGAGGACAGGAGCCAGCTGAGGCCGGAGAGCAGCGGAGAGAGGACAGGTGTGCTGAAGCCCAGAGAGAGGAGGTTCAAAGCAGGGGGGCCATGGAGGATGGGACAAATGAATAACAGTCCTTTCAATCTGGCCGGGAAGGCACCGAAACTTTGACCTGCAGCCCTACAACCTGGGCCTTTGCTTAGAAACAGAGGGACCTGGGGCTGCCTGAATATAAAAGCAAGTGGCCAGTGGACAGAGGAGAGAGATGAGCTGGCTCAGGGCAGGGGACCGAATGGGATAAGGCACAGGATCAGGGCTGCAGTGACCAGGCAGGGCTGCCTTCAGTGGGCCCCTGGTGAGTGAAGAGAGCGGAGAAGTGATGGTGCAGGGACATGCTGAGTGTGGCAGACATGGGTGGGCACGCCATGGGGCGAAGGGGTGCCCCAAACTGGAAGGGTAGCAGGCTTGTGGGAACATTACCTGTGTGCCAAGTCCACAGGGCCACCCAGCCCCTTCCACTCTTCGTGGATGGGGCATCCACTGAATGACCTCAGCATGTCCAGAAGAACTGAACCCTTCCTTCCTAGTCCATCTGAACCCCCAGCTCCCCAGCCTTCACTCCTCTCCACGCCCCTGCCTCCCCACTCCAGATACACATAGCACAACCTACACAATTCCCCAAACTCTCCTTACCTGAGCTCATGTCAGTCCCTCTCACCAAAATGTCCTCTTGCCCCGTGTCTCTGCCCCTGGGCCCCTATTCCCCTTAGGTAAATGCCATCTCTTCTGAGAAGCCTTCTTCAGTATCCTGGGCAGCATCTATTTCCCCCTCCTCGGGGCTGCAGGGTTCCCTTCCTGTGCATCCCTCTTTTTCAGCATTTGTTCAAGAGTGTTCTAACTGGCCTGACACATCTGTGTTCTCTGAGCTCTCTAAAGGCAAGAACCCTATCTTGCTGATCTTTCGATCTCAATTGGCCAACACAGACGGGCACATAGTAGGTGATCAACTAACAATGGTGAGGTGAATGAATGAAAGAATGAATGCAGGAACGAACGAATGAACAGACTAACTATAGGAAGGCTACTGGATACACCACGTCTCAAAAGAGTGAGGTCATGGCCGAGGGGACACTGATCACGGTGGTGCTCAGATGCACTCAGGCTAACCCCAGGCCCTTTGGAATGATTGATGATGTTATAAGATCTTTTCGTATCTCTGAACTGCACTGACCCCTTACCTCCTTCTAAATCCCCAGGCTCAGTGCCTCCCGGCCCATCTTTTTAATGCATCCTGTTTTCTATAAACCACCTAGTGACTTCAAAAGCTCAAGTTATTCCCCAGGACAGAACCAGAGGACCCATCTCCTCTGTTTACTCCCCATCCTGCTTAGGGTTTATTATTTAATGTCACGAGGTTTCCTGTGAGTGTGTCTTTGTGAGGACACTCCTACTGTGGTCTGAGAGCTCTGTATGCTAAAGGGTAATGTGAGAACACAGGCATGCAAGCTGTGTCTTCGAAACTCCGCGGGCTCTGCTGCCAAAGCTCACTTTACGGTCACTCTTTACAGATCATCCTAAACTTCACATCCATGGATTTGTTTAAAAGCCGCCTGTGCTGGTACGACTATGTGGAGGTCCGGGATGGTTATTGGAGAAAAGCGCCCCTGTTGGGTGAGTTAACTTGAGAAAACCGTGGGAGAGGGGTGATGGGCTGTCTGTGTGACGCCATTAATGTGTGGAAGGGCCCGTCCTGACAGCCGTCACAGGAAGCCCTCAAGGGTCGGTGTCCTTGTAAAACTCTGAACACTCCATTTGGCAACACATGTTAAAAGCTTTTAATGGGGCGCCTGGGTGGCTCAGTCGGTTAAGCGACTGCCTTCGGCTCAGGTCATGATCCTGGAGTCCCGGGATCGAGTCCCACATAGGGCTCCCCACTCAGCGGGGGGTCTGCTTCTCCCTCTAACCCTCTTTCCTCTCGTGCTGTCTCTCATTCTCTCTCTCAAATAAATAAATAAAATCTTAAAAAAAAAAAAAAAAGACAGAGGAGGGTCTGAGGGGAGAGCACATATCCCTGAGCGAGAGAGAGGAGAGCAGGGCCAGAAGGGAGCAGGAGGGCAGAGAGAAGAGGCATGGCTGCACTTGATTAAGAACTGCCCAGCTCTCGGGGCGCCTGGGTGGTTCAGTTGGTTAAGCGACTGCCTTCGGCTCAGGTCATGATCCTGGAGTCCTGGGATCGAGTCCCACATCGGGCTCCCTGCTCGGTGGGGGGTCTGCTTCTCCTTCTGACCCTCCCGACCCTCCCCTCTCTCATGTGCTCTCTCTCTCAAATAAATAAATAAAATCTTTAAAAAAAAAAAAAAAGCTTTTAAGACTGAGATGGCCCTTCAACCCAGCAATTCCACTTCTTCGAATGTATCCTAAGGAACCAATTAAGGAAGTGTGCAAAGTTCTAGCTATGGGGTTGTTCACTGGAGCAGGAAAAATGGAAAACAGTTTAAATGTTCAACAGTGTGGGTTCGCTGAAAACATTGGAATACATCTTTCCAGGGGAAAACTATTCAGCCACTAAAAATAAAGGTGGAAGTGCCTACTTATTAATATAGGAAGGGGTTCCTGTACGTTGTTACACAAAAAGGTGTTACAAAAGAGAACATGCAGTTGAATTCCATTTTAATAAAAACACATGTATATGTATATTTTGCAGGTTTTGCAAACTCAGATGCCCTCAGAAATAAGACCTACATGAGGGCTATGGGGTTGGCATAATAAACGAAGGAGTGGGGGGGGAGTGTGGCAAAGTGAACGGTGAATATCTTGACCAGAATTACTCAAAACAAAATTAAAATTAAAACATGTACAGGTTGGATTCACCTGGAAGAAACCATTTTGTGATCTACAGTATAAATATCAAGTAAAATTATAAACATAAATAAATAACACAGTGGTTATTTCAGGATGATGGAGCACTTTCTTAAAAAAATTATTCTGGGGATGCCTGGGTGACTCAGTTGGCTGGTTAGGCGTCCGATTCTGTTTTTAAGATTTTACTTATTTATTTGACAGAGAGAGACAGCGAGAGAGGGAGCACAAGCAGGGGGAGTGGGAGAGGGAGAAGCAGGCCTCCCGTGGAGCAGGGAGCCTGATGCGGAGCTCGATCCCAGGACCCTGGGATCATGACCTGAGCTGAAGACAGATGCTTAACGACTGAGCCACCCAGGCGCCCCTAGGTGTCCGATTCTTGATTTCGGCTCAGGTCATGGTCTCGGGGTCATGAGATAGAGCCCTATGTCGGGCTCTGCTCTGGGCGTGGAGTCTGCTCAAGGATTCTCCCTCTCCCTCTGCACCTTCCCCACCCTCTACCCTGTATGCCCTCTCTCTCTCTTAAAAATTTGTTTTATTCTGTTTTTCCTGGTTTAGCTATATTTTCTAATTTTTCTACAATAAGCATGTACCCTTTCTGGGAGATGCACAGTGCATGAACTCATATGTGAAAAGGCAACTTGGACCTTTCAGCGAGAGGCAGTGGGCAGGTGGCATAAGGAGAAAGGTCAGCTCATTCAGGATTGGTCGCCAATCTGCAATCTCCCATGGGTGACCCAAAAAGATGAAAGTATAGAGAACCAATTGCATGGTGTCCCGGGAATGGACATAGGGACTCATTTGGCTCAGGAATAGCAACAGCTGAGCCAGGGAGGGAGGCAGATTAAAAGGAGCCAGATGGAATGGTTTTGGCTGATAGTGGATTGTCCTCATTTTTAGAGCAGTAGTAGGGTGGGCTTCCAGGTTGACAAGTCTAAGCCCTCAGTGAGATCTTTGTCCCTGGCATATCCTCACATGGGCAGAAAAGCCACACCGGTTATGCTGTGAATGGCTGGCTTGGGAGTGAGCTGCTGTTGGGACAGCAGACGAGAGATGGAAACAGGAGGAGAGGAGGAGAGTTAAGCTGGGGAGTTCCGTGGCCAGACCAAGCCTGACTTCAAGTCAGATTCCGGGTAGGTCAGAAGAGATAGGGACAGAGGGTCTGGCTGGACCCGAGGGGGCCTGGCAGATACTAAGCTCTGTATTAGGGTCTCAGCCAGGTCAGCTTTCATTGGGAATAGCACCTAAACCCCTCTGTCCAGAGGACCGTGAGTTTAAATTCCTAGAGGTACAAACAGATAGGAATTTGTGTGCCCTTGCGCTCAAGAAAGCAGCCATGGCAGGCTCTGCGTGGGGGTACCAGGTTACTGCCATCATCAGTGGGGTAGTTCGCCGTCGCGGTAGGCAAGCCAGGCACAGACAGGAGTGTGCACGCTATAGGACAAATGAGTTTGGTTACCTGATGGCAAGGTCGAGGCTGCCTGTCCTGGATTTCTGCTTCCCGTCTCGTGCATGCTAGCAGCGAAGGAGGCATGGCTTTAGAGTTAATACTGACTGGGTGTGGCAAAAAGACGGAGGGCGACATTCTGGGTAGCAGAGGTTCCTGAACCTGGCTGGACATCAGCATCTGCTGGGAAGATGTCTATGAATACAGATCCTTAGGAGACTACCGAATCAGAATCCCCATGAGCCGGGTCAGGGAATGATCCTGCTTCTCTGTAAATGTATGTGCTTGGGTGCTTGTTAGCACCACATACATAGAAAGGGGACCGCAAGGGTGCTTATCAAACAACCGAAGCTGGTTACCCCTGAGAAAGGCAACACAGAGGTGCTGGGCAGCTTGGTGGTTTGGTTTGTATACTTCTGGGTCGTTCTACATCTTTCACAAGAATGCATTCAGGTAGTATTTTATAATTTAAAAACTACAAAAGGCTGTGTGGGATGAGTTTCAGTGACAACATGGAATCATGGACCCCTCGACCTGGCAGGGATCTTAGAGTGTTATCTTGATCTAGAGATCTTATCCCCACTTATCCCACACCTTCCCCAGGAAATCATGCTCCTCGAGTGTGGACCCACTCGCTAAGTCCACACAGCTAGCTAGGGGCTGAGATGAGACCAGAACTCAGAGGCCCTGGTCATGGGGAGTGGGGACTGCTGCATCTGAGAAGGGTATCCCCGTAGGATGGTCAGATAAGATGCGTGATTCAGTGTTTATCTGAAATTCCAATGTGACTGGCCTTCCTGTATTTTTGTTTGGGAAATCTGGCAACCCTAACCCCCCCCCCCCCCCGGAGGAATGTGTTAGCCTCAAAGGGCTCAGGGGAAGCAAGCTCTCCGTTACTGAAGTTCCCTAGAGAGGGCCGAGACACGCTCCTGAGAGTGGGCACAGCCAGAGACATTTCCAGGGATTCCCTTTTCTTGAACTTGAAACAAGAATTTTCTCACCGCAGATCCTGGTGTTTCTGGTTACACTTTCATGGGTGAGTTGGGGCTTTTGCCATTCGTTGTTGTCGGTGACGGTTTGTTTTGTTTGGGTTTTGTGTGAGGTTTTTTTTGGCTCATATTTTACACACTTTTGCAGTGTGTGTGTGTGTGTGTGCTGAGTGTGTCTCAGCCAAGGCATGGCCCAGTGCCTGTAACCGTCATTCTTCGTTTGCAGGAATTCTCCTTTGCCAACTATTTGGCCCTGCTCTGATGTTTCCAAATGCAGTTGTTAGTGCACTTTTGTGTTTGGAACAAGTGTATTGTGTGGGCCGAGCTGGTCCCTGGGAGGGGTCAGTGCCATGAAATCTGCTGGGAGGAGGCAGGTCAATGCCCCTTTGGCAGGAGGGAGAGCGGATTAGGGTGGATTGTGAAAGTATGCATCTTGCTCTGAAAAACTGTGCATTGCATATTTTCCCAGGGCAGTGTGTGAAAATCCAGGCATAATGGACGCATAACTTTTTATGAATGAACCCTTTATGACTCCCCATGGAGCCCACTTGTAGTGTCCTCATCTGCATTTCCTCTTCTTGATATCCTTATTAAACTCCTCCTCCAAAGCCAGGAACCAGATTCGGTTTAGGAATTTGCCACCTTTTCTCTAGTCCAGCTTCTGCCCAGCCTGTTCATTCTCTTGGAAGGGGGCTGTTTGGGACCCACCGTTTCACAAAGTGATTAAAGAGAAATGTAAGTAGAATGAGAATAGTTCACAGCTGGTTAAAGGTATCAAATTGGTTTTTCTATTTCAGGGGTCACTCGTGAGACTGCACCTGAAGTGGGGAGGAACGGGGCGGGGGGGTGGGGTGCGGTGCTACAAAGAGAATTTACCAGTAAACTTAAATACTGTCGTGTTAATTGGATTCCCCTCCCTTATTTCTGCTGGAGGAATTACTCGAACAATGTACTTTTTTATGCAGAACTGTCTTTGGGCATTCTGTAACACTGCCATGCACACAAAAGCCCCTCTCCCCCCATTCCCTGCAGTGGCGGGGGGGAAGTTCAGAAAGACCAGGCCGGCCAATCGGTGTCACGTGGCCCCACTCCTGGGGCTCCCTGGGCCGGGGCAGTCTCCCAAATGAGCAGAAACGATGGCGGGAGTCAGACAGCCAGATTGGCATCACCACAAGCTCTCCGTATGGTTGGAGGCTTTGATCCTTGTTCCTAAATGTCTGTGTCCAAACCAGGAACGATGTGTACATTCCCAGAGAGCAGGTTTCATATTTGTTCATCCAAAAGCGGACTGTGTCCAGAATCCCACCCCAAACAGAGAAGTTCCTTTTGATGATGGTGGCCGTGGTTAATGAAGTAGGAGGTAAAGTTGATGAGGAAGGTCAAGATCCCAGACTGCAGAGGTTCAAGTCCTGCTTCACTTACAACTTTGAGTGTAACTCAAAAATGCATGTAACTCAACTCAAATTCTTCAATCCTCGGTTTTCTCATAACCTAGATTACTAATAGTACCTAATTCCGGGGGGAGCAGGATGCAGTTAGATCATCTGCGTAAGGTGCTTAGGACAGGGTCATGCTCGCTAACAAAGGGCTTTCGTTAGAACCATTACGGTGGAGATGAGAGTGTTGAGAGAAGAGTCAGGGGACAAAGTAGAGGGTTTTAGTTAAGAGTTACACGGTGATTGGGGGAGAGAAGTTACTTAGAAATAATCTGTAATTTATCCTACCAAGTCTGGCTTTGCAGTAATTCCTCCCTCCTCCAGAGTAGTGAGCAGACCGGGGTTGTCCTATGGTCCAATGGTGGTGGTTCATCTCATCTGGTTGGGTTCTTAGGCAGCAAGGCAGGTATAGGAAGTCCCTCTCTTTTTTGGAAACAGTCTCCAGCGGCTGTGACAGCTGGGGTTTTAAAAGGAGAGATTTGGACTTGAAACTTGGTTTGGCTGAGAAGGAATTCCTTTTGTGACCCCACGTTGTTGCAGTGCTGTTCAGCAGCCCTGTCTCCTCACTGGTAAGCAATACTTCCCCACGCTTACGTGGTGCTTCCAAGACTTAATTGACACTCATTGGCCATGCCAGAGTAACCATTACTGAAAATTTATAGGCTTCTGATGGATTGTTCCTTGCCAAATTCTTGGCAGAAGTTTCAGCTCATCTAACTTAATGTTAAGCTCACCAAATCCAAAGAGCTGCAGGTGGCCAGAATCGGAAGGAAACAGAAGATTAGCAGCTTCTACCCCATGTCTCCCCAAAGAATGTATCCACAGTTGGCCATCAGGAAATGTCCACAGTGGTCTTTATTCCTCCCCAAACCTCACTCCCCCCATTTCTCAGAAGGGAAAGGAGAGTTATAACTTCAAGTGGTGTTGGCAATAAGGGAGTACCCACTAAATATCTGTTGAATAGACATAAAAAATATTGAGATATAATTCACATATAATACAACTCACCATTTAAAGTAAACAAGTCAACGATTTTTAGTATGTTCACAGAGTTGTGCAACCAACCATCATCATAATCAATTTTAGAACATCTTCATCACCCCAAAAGAAAACACATCCATACTCATTAACAGTCACTCCCCATTTCCCCAATATTAAATGGATTTTTGAGTGACTCTGCAGTCAGTGCTTGAGAGAACCATGACTTCCAGTCCAAATAGACCTTGACTGGTCTGTGTTGTGAACTGATCAGTACAACTCAGCTCATGTCCCACCCCAACCCCATTCCTGTCCTGCCGTGGCTGCCATCTTTAGATGGCATTAGGAATTATAGAGTCAAGGATTACTATACACTGGGAAGGCATGGCCACCGGCCTCTTCCTCTGTAGAAGATCCAAATTTCAGACTTGGATCTGAGTGTCTGAGGAATATACATTTATTTGTATTTTTTCCATAACAGAATTTCAACAGCAATTCTGAGCCCCTTTCTATCAGGTAGTGGGAAGTTAATTTCAGTCAGATTGTGTTTTCTTCCCTTGAGGGGTCCAATAAGGGATATACTTTCTGCCAAGGCATGGTGGCAGGGATGCATCCATATTGCCATCCCAGCTGGCTTTGCTGGATGTTCTCATGCCTGGTCTCCAGCCCTCTGTCTGAGCACAGAATCATAAGTGGCTGCTGGGCCTCTTCTTGTCTCAACTCTAGGCCAGTTCAGATCAGTGCTGAGTCCACATCTCCCTAGAAGACATTCAGTGGGTGATGTCCTGTGGCTCCCCACATCCTCTGGACTATGGGAAAGTAACCTCCATACCCCCTTTGCCTGAAGAACTCTGCATGCCTGTCTCCTGGCCTAATGTCTGGATGAACCATGTCAATGCTCCTATTCTGACCCCAGGTTTATGGGGATCTAAGATCTTGTTGCCCCTTCAGGCTCTGCCCAGTGACTGGGGGCACAGTTCTGTCCTTCTCCCAGATCCTTTTTTTATTTTTTTTTAATTTTTATTATTTTTTAAAGATTTTATTTAAATTCAAGTTAGTTAATGTATTAGTTTCAGGAATAGAATTCAGTGATTCATCACTTGCATGTAACACCCAGTGCTCATTCCATCAAGTGCCCTCCTTCATGCCCATCACCCATTTACCCCATCCCCCCCACCCACCTCCCCTCCAGCAGCCCTCAGTTTGTTCCCTATAGTTAAAGTCTCTTAATGGTTTGCCTCCCTCTCTGTTTTTATCTTATTTTATTTTTCCTTCCATTCCGCTATGTTCATCTGCTTTGTTTCTTAAAAATTCCACATGTGAGTGAAATCATATATGGTATTTGTCTATCTCTGACTGACTTATTTTGCTTAGCATAATACCCTCTAGTTCCATCCACATCATTGCAAATGGCAAGATTTCATTCTTCTTGATGGCTGAGTAATGTCTGTCCGTGGACATCTGGGCTCTTTCCATAGTTTGGCTATTGTGGACATTGCTGCTATAAACATTGGGATGCAGGAGCCCCTTCAAATAATTATTTTTGTATCCTTTGGATAAATACCTAGTAAAGCAATTGCTGGATTGTAGGGTAACTCTATTTTTAACTTTTTGAGGAACCTCCATACTGTTTTCCAGAGTGGCTGCACCACCTTGCATTCCCACCAACAGTGTAAGGAGGTTCCCCTTTCTCCACATCCTTGCTGACATCTGTTGCTTCCTGACTTGTTAATTTCAACCATTCTGACTGGTGTGAGGTGGTATCTCATTGTGGTTTTGATTTGTATTTCCCTGATGCCCAGGGATGTTGAGCATTTTTTCATGTATCTGTTGGCCATTTGTATGTCTTCTTTGGAGAAATGTCTGTTCATGTCTTCGACCCATTTCTTGACTGGATTATTTGTTTTTTGGGTGTTGAGTTTGATAAGTTCTTTAGATATTTTGGGTACTAGCCCTTTATCAGCTATGTCATGAAAATATCTTCTCCCATTCTGTAGGTTGCCTTTTAGTTTTATTGATTTTTTTCCTTTGCTGTGCAGAAGCTTTTTATCTTGATGAAGTCCCAGTAGTCCATTTTTGCTTTTGTGTCCTTCTTCCAGATCCTTAAACCCATTCAGGGTCTCTATCATCCTTTTCCATCAAGGGTCATAGCTCAGGGTGGGACAGCATATGGGGTCCTTCTAGACGGTCCATGGTCCCCTCTCTAATCCTCTCTCTCCCTGGGTCCGTCACTCATCTGTCCTAGCAATCTTTCTAAGACTATAAGGGTGAAAATGGAAGAATGTGCTCTCACTCATTGAGTCCTCTTTCAAACGTTTGTAATTGTGACTAGGCTTGTGAAATTCAAGAGCCTAGAAGATTTGATTTTTTTGTCATATGTTCTCTGGCATCCCGTTTCTGAGGCAAGGAAAGCAGAATGTCTTCCCAAAGGCATGCCGCACCCCCAAAAAGGGCACGTATGTAGTAGGAAATACCGAGGGAGGAAATGTTCATCGTGGCCTCAGACCGTTACCCCCCACGCCCGCAGCACCCGTACCCGACCCACGTGGCAGAGGAGGGGGTGCCCGGGCTTACTCTGGGTACTTTAGTGACTGGAGTCTGGAATGCTCTTGAAGTCGGCCTGGAAGAGACACACAGGCTGCGTGACTGCCTCCTTCCGTCCTTTGTTCTTGTATGCGCGACAGGATGGGTCGCCACGGCCAAGGTTCCTGCTCACCTGGAGCGCCACTGAAGAAACGCCGCTTCCTGTGGGTCTGTAATGAGTCTCTTGTTGCTGGCTGCGGCAGCCTGACCAGTCTTTTCCACTTCCCAGGTAGGTTTTGCGGCGATGAAGTGCCGGAGCCCCTCACCTCCACGGACAGCTGGCTCTGGGTGGAGTTCAGGAGCAGCAGTGGCATCTTGGGCAGGGGTTTCTTCGCGGTGTACGAAGGTGTGTTCACGAGGACAGAAGCCCCCCGGGGAGCCCTTGATGTGCCCTGACCTTCACATGCAGCGCCCCCCAGGCATGCGTGGAAGCTGCCAGAGCCAGGAGGGTGGGGGTACCCCCCACAGGGGCTGGGCTGAGGCGTTCCCCCCCCCGGGGCCCCTTCCTCCGCACTCTGGAAGCAGAGGGGGGCCAGCTGTGCCTCCTTCAGGACAGGTGTCGTCTACCTGTCACCACCCCGCTGAACTCCATTCCAGTGCAGCTGCGTGGGGGGGCCTGTCCGGGATTGAGAACCCCGAGCCCGGGAGAGCAGCCTCCGAAGAGCTGTGTGAGCCTGAGCAAAGGACCTAACCTCTCTGGGCCTCTGTTTGTTTCATTGATGAAAAGAGGACTTTGGGCAACATCAGGATATTTACAACTACATTTCTTGAAAGGGCCTCCGAGGCCACCTTGGTGGTTGAGTTGAGGAAATAAATAAGTCTGGGCTCCAGGCAACTGCCCCCAGGGCATTTCTGCTAAAGTTTGTTCCACGTATTGGGTAAATTATAATTTTGGAGAGGCCAAGATTTTGTTTTTATAAAAGAAATAACCTGTGTGTGTGTGTACGTACGCACACACACGTGCGTCCCCCTGTGTCAGCGGTCCCCTACCCTCTACGTTAGAATCACTTGGGGAACTCACTGCTATTGGAGCTCCCCCAGACCCCACGCCTCAGAACTTGTAGGGCTGTGACCCCTGCTTCCACAGCTTGGAACATTCCCCAGGTGATCGTGATGCACAGCAAAGGTGGAGAACCGCTGCCTTACCTGGCTATTTTCTTTATATGAAAAAAATCCAGAGTTGCAAACAGATGAAATTGTGCCTTTCCGGAGGCACAGTCTCAGTTGGATGGAGATGAAAATGTTGCCACGTGGAGTCACCTAGTGGTGATAAGGGTGGCCACTCATTTCCTTCCTAAGGTCTGACCGGGGACCCCATTCCTCTTCTCCTGGCTCTCTTTCTAAAGCTACGTGTGGGGGAGACATTAACAAAGATGCTGGTCAGATTCAATCTCCCAACTACCCGGATGACTACAGACCTTCCAAGGAATGTGTTTGGAGGATTACGGTTTCGGAAGGGTTTCACGTGGGGCTTACCTTCCAAGCTTTCGAGGTGAGTACTGCTCGGGTTTTCTTCCCGAGAATGAAGTAAATGTCAACTCTGCTAGACACTCTGCTCCATAAAGATGGGTTTCCATTTTGTGGGTTGCAAACAGGAACCTAAGAGACCATTTCAAGCTCACGGTGCATTGTACCTGGACATTTGGCATCAAAATCTTGGCCAACTTTGAAATTGCGTCCACCTCCTTTCTGACCACCGCCCAGGGGAACTGAAAGTCTAGGAGGGGATCCCAGGAAGTTGTGCAGAACAGTTCTTCCCTGTGTATCGTCTCTTAGTCTGCACAGTTTGGTTCTTCCTGGGCTTCCACAAGTAGGGGACAGCTTGGAGAGCCCAGGACACGCTTGGGTCCTTCTGCCTCCTGGTCAGATTTTTGAGAGTGTTATTTAAGTTCCCTTCTTACGTGAAAAAACAGGACCATCCGTCATCTTCCACCTTGCCTCTGTTTCTCTGTTTAGATCGAAAGGCATGACAGCTGCGCATACGACTACCTGGAAATCCGCGACGGCCCCACGGAAGAGAGCGCCCTGATTGGCCATTTTTGTGGCTACGAGAAGCCGGAAGATGTGAAATCCAGTTCCAACAGAATGTGGATGAAGTTTGTGTCCGACGGCTCTATCAATAAAGCGGGCTTTGCAGCCAATTTTTTCAAGGGTATGAATTAGCAGTTTGTTTCCATTTTTAGTCACAGGAAGAGGTATTGCTACCCCGGCTTAAGAATCACAAAACCCATATGGAACCTTAGCATCAAACAAGGCTCCCTGCGGGGAGAAGGCAGTGACCCATTTTCGAGCTGCCCCTAACCGAGTTCACCACTGACTCAGGAGCAGGCAGGGCCTGGGCTGCTACAGGGCAGAAAGTTCTGCCACTGCACTTGGAAACTAGATTTAATAAGTTTACCAGGTCAAGTTAGTAAACCTCAGGGAAACTGAGCGTTGATAATAAATATTTGTGTAGTCACTCTCATTAACTGAGCACCTGCTCTGTGTCAGGAACTGTGCAAAGTACTTGCTGGACATGATGTCACTTAATTCCCAAAATAACCCTATGCATTGGGTTTGGATCACGTTTGATTAGGGTTGAGAAGAGTTGCTTGGGAGTCACCCAGATAGTTAAGTGACAGATCAAGAATCCAAGTGCAGTCTGACTCCTAAGCCCAAACTCTTTCTACAGCGTTGCCTCGCATTCCCTGATGTGGGCCGGAGAGGCAGCCTCCCTCTTCAGCTGCTGACGCACCAGCTCCCGGCCTTCAAGTCTCCCCTTGAGGGGGGTGGGGGTGGGGAGGAGAGCGAGGGGTGCTCAGGGAACAAGCTTCCATGTGGTCTTGGGGGCCTGCTGTGTTGCAGAGTCTTGAAAGCGACCCAGAATGGCATGGGAAGCCCGCATTCCTGGCCCCAGCAGAAGGGGCTACTCAGGACTCCTCTGTCGGAGCAGGTCTCTCCTCTCAGGCTCTGGAAGCCCCTCAGACCACACTGTAAAAGGGAGGCCTGGATAGTCCCAAGCGCGTTGTGATCGGGCGCCCGGCAGCGCACCAGCACCCACCGAATGGTGTTAGCTAATCCACATCTGAGGTCTTGGTCAGTGGCACCACTCACGTCCAGGGAGAAGCCGCTTTCCCCTCTTTTCCTCTTCTCCAAGGACTCCTGGCTGTGTCAGCCCAGAAACCCTGGTCCCTCTCTTACTCCCACTCTCTGCATCTGCCCTCTGTAGCCCTTTCTCACAGGTTCTACATAAGTGCATGGGTGTCAGAGGAAACCCTCTCAAGCCGTGAGCCTGAGCAGGCAGCTCTTCGCCCTTACCGACACTTCAGGTTTCCTCTCTGTAAAACGAGGGGAAGAAATCTGCCCATTTTACCTGACCTGTCGTGAAGCCCCACCGAAATGTTGGCTGTAGAGACACTTTATAAGCTGGGGAGTGCACCACAGATGTGTGATGTGTGGGGTTCTTCTTTGGTCTCGTGGCGTCTGGAAGAGTGAAACCCAAGCAGGAACAGAACAAGAATCATAATTCTGTGGATAATTGGAGGAAAAAATTGAGTCAATTCTTTCCCAAGTGAAAAAGCCAGGCCGCAGCAAGTGTATTTCAAATGCAGGTCAGCTTGTGGTTGAGATGCCTGGAAATTCACAGTCTGCGCCCTGCCCCGGCCCAGACCACATGTGACCCAGCAGCAGCCAAGCTCGCTGGGTGGCCTGAAGCAAGTGACCCAAGTTCTCTGAACCCCAAATCATCCACTTCTAGAAATGACATATGAGGCTATAGCAGGGCTGTCGGGAGAAAATGAAACCGTGTCAGCAAATGCACACTGTCTAATGGTTAGTCCCATGGACTGTCTTTGCTAAAGAAGGAGTCTTTGAGGTGGTTATCGTTATCTCTGGCAAAAAAGGAAGTGACGATTTCTCCTTGCTATCACAAAAGGTTGCTATCAGTTTCTTGTGGCTGGTGTAACAAACTACCACCAACGTGGAGGCTTAGAACAACAGAACTTTCTCATCTTCCAGTTCTGGAGGTCAGATTTCCTTGCCTTTTCCCACATCTGGAGGAGGCCCCCGCATTTCTTGGCTCGGGTTCCCCTCCGTCTTCAAGCCAGCTCTGGACAGTTGAGTCTTTCTCCTGCTGTGTCACACGTCTGCTTCCACGGCTGCATCTCTTTCTCTGCCCCTGACTGTCCTCCTCCCTCTCTCAGGCATAAGGACCTGTGTGGTGACATGGGGCCCACCCACAGAACGCAGGATAATCTCCTATTTCAAGATCCTTAATTTAATTGCATTTGCAAAGTCCTTTTTGCCAAGTAAGCTAACGGATTCACAAGTTCCAGGGACTGAGATGTGGATGGCTCCAGGAGGCCAGATTTTGCTTCCCACTTGTCACGAATGATTGGAAGGATTTATTCTAATTCTGTCCTCCTCCTCTGACGTCCACCCTCCGCTCTGCAAATTAGGCGTTGGGGAGTTAGTAACCCAGTGGCACCAACCCACCCACACCTCATTCCTGGTGCTGCTTCTAATGGTGATGCATGTTTTTGAGAGGACCGGCCAAAGCTGGAGATCAGGGTTACCAGATTAAAGAAAAAAAAGGGATGTCCAGTTAAGTTTGAATGTAAGATGAAGAATGATCTTTTAGTATAAGCATGTCCCAAACATTGCACACGTGGCTAAGAAATGATAAGAAATGTTCATCTTCAATTCAAATTTAGTTGAGCCCCCTGCGTGTTTTGGCGAGGCCAGGCGAGGCCAGGCGAGGCCGCGGACAGGCGTGCATCCCTCTGTGAAGCTAGGTTGGCGTGTAAGGCACCGACTGGCTGGCTCTGGGTATCCACGACAACCAGCTGCGTTTGCAGTTGGAAGATAGCATCTTCTCCTTCTGCCACAGTCAGCATTCATTCAGCAGTCATCAAGCCATGTGTCAGGTGCTGTGCTAGGCGCTGGGGACACAGGAAGGCACAGTCACTGTCCTCAAGAGCTCAGGCTGGTGAGAGAGGACTAAGGCAAACGGGCGGTGGCCGGGCCGCTGACGTGTGGACCTCGGAGGCACTCAACCTTGTGGGAGGGCACTGTGCCCATCCTCACACTTCAAGGGCATTTCAGTTCTCAGCTTGCAAACTTCTCTTTAGATGCCCATGAAGGTGTTAACCAAGACCCATCTACACTAACTTAATGCACAGGCCCGGCTTGGCATCTCTTTTATGTCAGTGAGCTTGACCCTGAATCCTAGAAGAGGAACCAGGACTGGTGGAAGCCTTGGGGGGCCTCTTAGAGGGAAGAAAAAGGACTCTACTGAGTGTGCCAGAACCCACGTGAGTGATCTCACTTTCTCTTCAGAACCACCCCATGGTCCGCATTAGTATCACCCTCCTTTCACAGTTGAGGAAATCGAAGTTCTGAGGGGGCAGAGCCGAACAGACCCAGGATCTGCAGGGCCCCCCAGTGCATTCTTCCCGCTACAGAGACGTGCAAGTCACCGGCAAGTCAAGCGAGGGGCGTTCAATTTTTCATTAGTGTTTGTGGTTTGATTCTGAAACTTGTCACCTTTCTGCCCTCTGGGTCCCATGGGGACATGGGGGAAAGGGCCTTGGATGTAGCATCCGAGGTTTGGAATTTTGTCCTGCCTTCATCCCTCACAGGTGTCTGCTCTCAGGCAGATCAGTTTTCCTTTCGGAGACTGGGTCATACCTGCTTTGTTCACTGTACTCCCAGCACCTGGCCCACACCGGGCTCAGTAAATACTCACGGGGCAGGGAATGACTAGATCAAAGAGCACATGAGGCTCAGGTTCCTCACCTGTGGGTTGGACTTCCTGCTGCTTTCTCTGCCTCCTTTTTGGGGTTCCCAGGAGGAAGATTGAGGCAAGACCACAGTCTAGAGCAATGCTGTCCGACAGAAATAGGAAGCAAGTCACAAAGGTGAGCCATGTCATTTTAAACTGTCTAGCAGCCACCTTATCCCTCCCCCAAGAAAGAAACAGGTGGAATTATTTGAATATATCTTATTTGACCCAATATATCAATTTTATGACCATTTACCATCGCACGCAGCACTGCCATTTTAATATGTAATTGATATACTCAACATTAATGGCGTATTTTATGGGTTTTTTCATTCTAAGTCTTGGAAATCCAGTGTCTTTTTACACTCACAGCGCAGCTGAATTCAGACTAGCTACATTTCAAGGGTTTGGTGACCACATTGGTCAGTGCAGGCCTTGGGACTGGACACGGCCAGCTTCCTCTGCCCAGCCTTTGTCCAGAAAAGCCATCAATAGGCTGTCCTGGGAACACACAGAGCCCAGTGCGTGTGTCAGGACTTCTCCAGTGAAAGAAACTGGAAGATGAGCTGCAAAGTCCATGCAGAAGAGTTGGACCAAGAGAAAGAAACTCTTGCCTTGGTGCCAGTGGGCCGGAGGCTCTGCCCGGAGCCCAGATGGAGCACGGCACTGACCAAGGTGCCAGTTGGCCTCTGCATCCCTCTCCCGGTGCCGGATGGCAGTGTCTCTCACAGCCCGCTGGCCTGGCAGCAGGCAGAGCTCATCTCCCCTTACTGCCGGAGATGGCGGCATTTGAGGGTTGGCCATTTTGGTCACACACTCCTCACATAAAGAATATGATTCCATCTTGCTCCCCACGGTCCTCTGTCCCAGTGCCAAAGGACCACCATGGGGTGTTGATGAGGGGGACTGGCTTCCTGCAGGTGTTTCTTCAAAAGCTTACGCATATGCCCTGCCTTCTCATCCCTTAACTCTCTGCAGACAATTGTTGGCATCCTACCTGGGCCATCTCATTATCTAAGCAGGGAATGGTTCCTTCTTTTACTAATACGGCTTGAAGAAGGCAAAGGAGACAGAGCTACCACTTTGCAAGGCTGAGCCCTACCTTTTCAGCCTTTTCTCCTACCCCTCACACTTTCCCAGATTTTTCTAGGAGGCTTGGCCTTGACCACGGTAGCCCAGAGCAAGCGTGAATCTGTGGGCTTGGAGCAGATGCTACTTCATCACAGTGTGGAGGTGATTCCAAGGACACCCAGGCTCCCACTGAGAGCAGGGCACCTAGTACACTTCCATGTCATCCATCCAAGTTGGAGTAGGGTTGAAAATGTCCAAACATCCCACTGCTTTTGCTAGAGGGAGCTCAGATATAACTCTATAGCTTTCACCCACCTTCCTGGGCCAAACAAACATCCTCCCCTTCTAGTCCCTGGAGGAACTATATTCCCTTTGCTTTAGTCCCAAATCCAATCTACCATCCTCTCTCAACCCCACATGATTAAGATGGTACCCGGAAACTTGTTCATCTGTGGTCTTCCCTTTCTTGCCTATGACAAACGTGTGTCCTTCCCATAGCCATATCATCTTCTGGCATCAGAGTCTCTCCCTTGCCCCCGACTTGATCCCGTGTTTATCTTGGTATTTTGATGGGCTTTTCCCATCATTCTTTTCTGCCCTCCTCCTGCACCCACCTGCCAGTTTCTTGACTCTGCTGTGCTGCCTTCCTGCCCATCTCTTCTTCCCCCACTGGCCCATCTTTGATGCAGTGTCCTTCCTTCTGTTTCTGTCTTGTCCCTCTCCCTTCGTCAGGCTGTACTACTCTGCTCTCACCTGATTCAGGTATGCCCAGGTAACCTTATCCTTTTCACTGCCCTCATCATTGTGTCTCTCCACCCACTGGGATTTCAAAAGCAACCTCGCTATTGTCTGTAGTGAGATCTATTGTGTATTGGATGTCTATATGCTAGGGACTTCACACACATGATTTTCAGCCCCCACTACCCTAAAAGCAGGTACTACTTTCATTCTGAAGCAGGGGGAAGGCTCAGAGAGGTTAAATTACCCAATTTGTTGGGGGCAAGACCCAGTATGGATCCAACCAAGGTCTGTCTGGCTCACTCGAGAAGCCAGGACTCTCCATTTTTCCTTATTATTGATTCTCCCTCCTTCTATACTTTCTAGCAAATGCCAAAGAAAGCACTTTTCCTATTGTAAAGCAATAAGTAATTGCAGGATTGTTACTATTTTAGCATACTTCATATTTCATTTATTTGAGGCCATGGACAACTTCAACCCCCTGCCTAGAGCATGTCTCCTACACTCAGTTCCCCTACTGGTCAATTTATTTAAGCTTTGGCTGAGCCCAACAACACGTCACTCTTACAATTACCTAAGTTTATTGCCCACTATGTGCAATGATGGGATATTCACAGGCCGTTCTTTACCCAGTGAAGAGCGAGCAGGTAGATGAGTGTGTTGTGCCCCGTAGACAAGGAAGGCTGGAAGGAAATGGGTCTGTTTGAGCGGGGGAGGGGCAGCACAGAGGGAGTCAGCCCCGTCAAAGGGTTTGCTTGTGCTGCAGGACCAGTGGAGGGACATTGCAAGGGGCCAAATGTTGACAATTCACATTTCAAAGGATAAGAAACATTTTTGAAAAGCAGCGAGAATCCTATCTCTGGGTGGATTTCGAGCAGGGTCTGCAAAGCCATCCATAAGTAATGTTATTAAAAGGATCGCTGCGTGAGGGCAGGACTGGGGGTCTTTCTGGGTCTTTACCAACTCTAAGATATCCTGATTTCTCCCATTTTGTGTGTAATGTGGGCTTTGAAGATTTTGTGGCCGACCCTGTGCTTGCTCTCTTCCTACCTTCCGTGGTGTTATGAACCAATGCCACCCCCACCCTTTCTTCCTCTCAGATTGGGCTTTTTTGGTTTTGTCTTGTTTTGGAAGGTGCCTCAGGGTTTTGTTGTCCCTTCGCTCGGCTCTCTGGCTCGGTGAGGCCACAGCCTCTCCTCTCAGGGATAGATGCACCAGAGCTTGGCACCAGAAAATGATGAGTTTTTCCTTTTATTTCGATCCTCTTCTTGGAGATGCCCCCGGCCTGGGTTTTTCTTTCCTCCAGTGATGCACGGGCTGACATTTCCGGGCAGATTCTCCAATTACCCCCATGTTCCTCCTCGGGACAGCTCTCCTGGCATCCTACCTGCTGCTATTAACTGCCCCAAACATATCACTAGACACTTGTCAGCACCGAATCCCATCCAAGTCCCCTGCTAACTCAGTCTCACTGTGGCCTCTTCCTGCAGTTTCTCGGGGGAGGGCTGACTAACCTAAGAGCTCGGCGTCTTCTGTAACCTTGAAGATCTCCCTGGGCACACCACTTCGGATTATTTCTAACATACAAAATCACAAGTTCTGGCTCTATCTCTAGAAAATTCTTCTACATCTTCATCTAGAAATGTGTCCCTTTGTTCTTACCCTTCACTTAATGTCCCTACGAAGTTCTATATTTGGGGAGAACCCCAATTCCATAGCATTAAAACTGATGACGTTTTGGTGAGGGACCTCTGAGATTTTTTAAAAATCACACTGTATACCCTGACTGAACCCTTCAAAGAACAAAACCATCCAGACCTGATCTCCTCCAGAGCAACCCTGCTTCTGCCTAACAAGTTACTCTTATGTTCTCATGACCTCCCCTTTGGCTAGAGCTGCTCAAGGTTTCTGAGACATGGACGTGAGCCTCCTGGGGAGGCGTCACCAGGAGCCGTTCTTGTTCTTAGAGGACATTTGCCAGGCACCCTGGGATGGGGAATGAGATGGGGAGCAGACCAGATGACTTTGTGATGATTTAGCTGGGGTCCCCTTCCTCTCCAACAGAGGTGGATGAGTGTTCCTGGCCAGATCATGGTGGGTGTGAGCAGCGCTGTGTGAACACTCTGGGCAGCTACAGGTGCGCATGTGATCCTGGCTACGAGCTGGCTGCTGATAAGAAGATGTGTGAAGGTTGGTGTTGGACCTGCCAAGCGAGAATGGGAAGGGATAAGGGGCCAGTCTTAGGAGAAAGGGGGATGAGATGGGACCGTGGGCTGGCTGCGAGGTGACGTGATCTGTGATGGAGGGTGCCCCTGGCTCTTGGAAGGAAAAACAACTCCATCAAGTCACAAATGTGAGAGGGCTGCCCAGATTATAAGAACTCCACCCTAGACACGATTCACACGATTATTCAGATAAAAAAATGAAAGCAAAGAAAAACCATGAGCACTTTCGCGTGATGCAACTAATTGCTCATTTCATTCATTCCACTTCTACGGGGCTGGTGTTCCGTTTTCCTTGCCCACCCGCATGATGCTGCTTGTTCATATAAGCCAGGTGAGGTGCATAGCTTGCTGCAAACATTCCTAAGTCTCCTTTGGTCCAAGTCATGTGGAGTCCCCAACTCTGCCACTGAGTGACAGGTAAGCACAGATGCATTGTCATCGTTTTACAAAGCGGTAAAGGCTTGTCCTCAGCGTCATCCCTCCAAATCCTCAGTTGAAGCAGACTAGAAGAAAGGATGCTGGATTAATCAGTTCAGATTGTCAAACTTTTTTTTTTTTTTTTTTATTAAAGAACAGCAGGGCTTATTGCTGCTTGGGGGAAATCGCAGTCACTTGGAACTAAAACCAAATGAATTTTGCTTCTGTTTCTCCCGTGCAGTGGCCTGTGGCGGTTTTATTACCAAGCTGAACGGGACCATCACCAGCCCTGGGTGGCCGAAGGAGTATCCTACAAACAAAAACTGCGTCTGGCAGGTGGTGGCCCCTGCTCAGTACCGGATCTCCCTTCAGTTTGAAGTGTTTGAATTGGAAGGCAATGATGTATGCTTCTGCACTCTAACTGATTATGTTGGGATGTGGCTCAGGGCTGCAAAGCAGCGAGGGGCTCAGCAGGTGGCGGGGGGGGGGGGGGTCGCTTCCTGCATCCAGGGACTCTTTGCAGGGCAGAGTCTGGGGAGTGTTTGGTGTAGTGGTTTCAGCTGCGCACCCTCTGCAGATGTGATGTTTTGGTTCTCTTGTCACTGATAAATCCAAGAAGAATCAGGACCAGGGTGGAGGAGGCAGGTCTTGGGGGTGGGAGGTGGTCAAGACAAGTATGTCCCCTGGGGTAGGAGTCTGAGGGTTAGCGTCCAGGTGAGGGGAACTGAGGGGGTGAGATGCAGCTGGAGACCAGGATGGTGTGAATTGCCTGTCCCCTCCCTTGGGCAGTGGTCATGGGATGACCAAGTCAGCCAAGGCCCAGGTAGAGCCCCCCGCCCCCGCCCCAAGCAGCATGCTAGCATGAGTGCCCCATGTCTGCACCTTGGGCCAGAGGGATCCCAGGAAGTGTTGAGAGGACCCTCCCACTGGACCTGGCTGAGCTGGTCTGGCCACCGGGCAGGGTGTGGTGTTCAGGAAGGGGGTCCTGCAGAGAGGCTAGGGTGGAGCCGTGGGAGTACCAGGGGGCTCCCCATGGTGCTCCCTTGCAGGTCTGCAAGTACGACTTCGTGGAGGTACGCAGTGGTCTGTCCCCCGATGCCAGGCTGCACGGCAAATTCTGCGGCTCTGAGATGCCCGAAGTCATCACCTCCCAGAGCAACAACATGCGTGTGGAGTTCAAGTCAGACAACACGGTCTCCAAACGCGGCTTCAGAGCCCACTTCTTCTCAGGTGTGTGCGGGTTTGGAGGCGAGGTCACGGGTCGCCTTGGCTGTGCAGGCTCTCAGGCTCTGGGGCACCTGCCCACCTCTCTCTGCCCACCGCCCCTACCCTCGCAGTAAAACTTCCACCTGGGAGGGGGCGTGCCTGGATCTGGGATTTTTTATATTGCTGGTTATATTATTACAGGGCTGTCATAACACACTACCACAAAGTGCGTGGTGTGAAACAACAGAAATGTATTCTCTCGCGGTTGTGGAGGCCGGAAATCTGCAGTCAAGGTGTGGGCAGGGCTGTGCTCCTTCTGAAGGCTTTGGGAGAATCCTTCCTGGCTTCTAACTAGCTTGTGGTCCCCGTACTTAAGTGTTGGGTGGGCTTCATCTCTTTATTCTTTAAGGATTCTTTGTTGTCCTCATGAAACTAAAACACCAAGTGTTCGGTGACACTTCACCATAGGGTTTGGTGAGGGCAGGGAGACACCACTGACCCCCGGAGTCATCCCGGTGTCGGGGGCCGGGGAGGGAGGCCGGTCCTCGGTTATCGCAGGAAGACGCTGGCTTGAGCTACAAGAACCACAGTGACAACAGCTAGGACTTGAGTTCGGACATCGTAACAAATACAAGCTAACACTCTCAGCTAGACGCTGTTCCAAGTACTTTCCCTGTACTAACTCATTTCCTCCTCCCAACAACCCTGTGACGTGAGGACACATACTGGCTCCATTTTACAGGCGAGGCTACTGAGGCACAGAAGTCAAGGACTGCCCAAGGACACAACAGCTGGGAGTGGTAGAGCAGGACCGGCGCTCGGCAGTCTGGCCCGGGGCCCGAAGGCCTACCTACTCCACAGGCCGGAAGTGGCGTGGGGTCCGGGAGGAGGAGCCGAGGCTTCCGGGTCACACGGGCTGCTCGCTTACTGAATGGCCCTGGGGCATGTTAGTGTCCTCAGCCTCAGTTTCCTTACCTGTAAAGGGGGGGCATAGGCACCTGGCTCCTCAGGTTGCATGCTGTATAGCACGTGCTTTAGGAATTGCCCCTCACATAAATTTTCAATACACGGCAGTTACTTTTATTATTGTTACCGTGACTATTCTTAATGTCAGCCTACCCTTTAAGGAGCTCCTTGTTTTGGCGGGCAGCAGGGTTAAAGGACACAAATGCTCATTCAAGGGCCGTAGGAGCCTGGGGAATTCAGTGTAGAGCAGGACCAGGTAGGATCCAACAGATGCTGCCGCCACCCACCCCAGGAAGGGGACTCCCCAGGTCAGGGCAATCTGGGAGCCTCCCTGGCAGAGGCTACTTCTGAGTGGAGTTCTGCGGACTGAGGGGAGTCCCAAGGTGGCGCTTCCCCTGAGAGCCTGTCGATCTCCGCAGACAAGGACGAGTGTGCCAAGGACAACGGCGGGTGCCAGAACGAGTGTGTCAACACGTCTGGGAGCTACCTGTGCCGGTGCAGAAATGGGTACCAGCTCCTCGAGAACGGGCACGACTGCAAGGAAGGTGAGGCTGCACTGGGAGGCCAGGCTGGCCGTGGCTGCCGGCGGGTGCACGCGTGTGAGCGTGTGAGCAAGGGGCCCTCCTTGTCTGCCTTCCGCCTGCCGAAGGGCGGTGTTCCCCAGGGCAGCACCCTCCTTCAGGAGGATTCGGGGCCCTCAGGTGCCCTCATGGGGTTACTCTTGCAAAGCGGGTATGCCCCCAGGCTCCTGAATCAGACTACCACCTAGGCTTAAATCCTGACTCTGCTGCTTCACCGGCTGTGTGACCTTGGGCAGGTTACTTAACCTCTCTGAGCTTCCGGTTCTTCTATTTAAAAGGGACTAAACAGACCCTCTTCTTAAAGGTGTACGAGGAGTGAACGAAAGCGTGCCTAGAAAGTATTTCAGACAATCTGGCATCTATTAAGCACTTGACATGTCAATAAATATCAACCATCCATGTCATAATATTTTTTATCATATGCAGGTCTAATAGTAAAATAGAATTCAAAAAAGATTGCTCCTTGCTTCATTTACTACTGGAAGTTCAAGGCCAGATGCCTTTGAATGTCCAGGCATTCTGGAAAGAGCCTCCCTCACCCTGCCCTGTGAAGGGTGTTTGAGCATCTCTGATAAGCACACAGGCCTCTAGGCCTTGGCGCCAGCACAGGGCCCTGCAGAGGTGGTCAGAGGGAGGGAAGGGGTGAAGACTTCACGCCTCCTCTCCAGGATAAGCATTTCAAAGGTAGGAGATCTGACGGGGATGCACAGAGTCTGACCAGGCCTACCAGGGTGTTACAGGATGAGCTAAGACAGCTTCAGAAGCAGGGTGCGGCCACCCTCCAAGACCAGCCCTGTGACATAGACATGGGCAGTCGTGGGTTGGTTGGGAAGCAGGTTGGAAGAACTTGGAAGGACGCATCATTCTGGAACTTAAAAGTCTTTGTCACACTCCTGTGAGGTGGGCGTGGGCCAGAACAAGACTTGCCTCCCGTGGCGTGGGGGAGGCCCGGAGGGATTTAACCCCACTAAGGTCCCACCAGCCGAACAGTGGCTGCCTTCCTATGGGCTCCTCCAAGGGGTGGCAGCCAATGTCCCAGACGCTGAGCCCCTGCCCCTGTTGACATTTGTCCCCTGTGGGGCTGCAGAGTGGGGGCAGCGTTTAGTAGGAACCTCCCTTCAGCTGCTGCCTACCCCTTCCCACTTCCCCTGACCCGCCCTCAACTGCCCCCTCTGGCATCTTGTCCTGCAGCCGCAGGGCAGCGTTGGCAATGGGGGTGGGGGTGGGGGTGCACATCCTCAGTCCCTCTGTTTCCTAATCATTTACACCAAAGGCAGGCCTGGGTTCAAGTCCCCGCCCTGCCCCTTACCAGCGAGTCACTCACCCGCTCTAAAGTTATTTTCTTATTTGCAAAGTGAGAAGGATGAGATGAGGGAATGCATTCAAAATGCTTAGCGTTGTGCCCAGCACACCTTCTAGCTGTTGACCAAATCACTGCACCCTGAGCAAGTCGTGGGACCCCCTTTGCTAACAGCACCCTATAGCCAAGGCAACATCTGTAGCCGCCAAATGAAACTGCTTTGAAAATCGAAAGGAAATATACATGGAAGGCGTAGTGAAGACCTTCGTTGGCACTTGCTAAGACTTGTACATGTATTATCTCATTTAGTCCACATATCCCCCTACGAAGTCAGCACCCCTTTTACAAATAAGGACACCAAGGCTTGGGTAAGTGCCCAAGTCCCACAGCCTGCAGGCGGTGTGACCCACGTCCATGTGACCCCAGTGCCTGTGGTCTCAACCGCCACTAGGAAGGCAGCAAAACCAAATAAACTCTCTGGCCAGAGGACACTTGACTCAGGCTGAGCCCTGCCCCCACATTTGATCATGACCCCATGACAAATAAGAATGAGAGACGGATCCTCCCCCAGAGGGCCTCTGGTGCTGCCCACAAATGAACCGCTTCTCTCTGCATGTGTCTCCCCACCCCCCTCCAGCTGGCTGCGCGCACAAGATCAGCAGTGCAGAGGGGACCCTGGCGAGCCCCAACTGGCCCGACAAGTACCCCAGTCGGAGGGAGTGTACCTGGAACATCTCTTCCACCGCGGGCCACCGGGTGAAACTCGTGAGTCATTTTCATGGTTGACTGACAACACGGACTTTGGTTTCAGACAGACAGGGGGTTGCGTCTCTGCTCTGCCCCTTCCCAGCTCTGAAATTTGAGAAGGTTATTCAACACTTCCAGAACTCGGTTTCATTATCCGGAAAATGGGGATGCTAATGAAGCCTCCCTTGCGGGGCGGCTGTGCACAATTCAGAGGTGGTGGTAAGAAAAGCTCTCTAAATAGCACCTGTTCACAGCAGTACCTGTCTGCACAGATCGGGAGAGCTGACATTCAGTTGTTTCCAGCTGTAATTTTTGACAAAACGATACATTCCCGAGGTTAAAAAAAAGGAATCAGTACAGAGTGTTGGAAAGTGGAAATCAACCTTCTTGGGCGCGTGGGTGGCTCAGATGGTTAAACGTCTGCCTTCGGCTCAAGTCATGATCCCAGGGTCCTGGGATCGAGCCCCGCATCGGCTTCCCTGCTTGGCGGGGAGCCTGCTTCTCCCTCTCCCTCTACTGTTCCCCCTGCTTGTGCTCTCTCACTCTATCAAATAAATAAATAAAATCTTTAAAAAAAAAAAAAACCTTCTAGATCCCCCATGCCCACTTCAGAAATGACGTCTCTGAACTTTTTTTGTAAATTCTACCAGAAATTTCCTATGCACATACAATAACGTATGGATATGCATGGGAAAAATACAAATCGTTTTTCTTGCCCAGACTTCTCGAATGGATTATCATTCAGATTCCTCCATAACTTACATTTTAAAAAATTAACAATAAGAGGTTAAGTTATGCTAATTCTCTCTTGAATTAAAAAATTAAAGTCTCTCATGCATATGGTTGTAGGTGTGCGCACCCTGCTCGGTTATTTCAGAGGAGAACGGAGTCTCTGGTACAAGTCTCGTTTCTCAGCCCCCAGAGACTCCCAGCTCCTGGAGTGTAAAACAAACCCTCTTGTCGGCTGGAGAAGGTATACTCCAGACAGAAGGTTTTTAAATGGGTCCTTCTGAATCTGGAGATTTGTAAGCTCTCCAGAAGGCATAGGGATGGTCCTCTGAAGTATGAGCCAAAAATGCAAGGAGAACGGAAGAGAATAAAGGAGAACGTGATGATAAGCAACGATCGGGGGCGACTTGCAAGGGTGTTTACTGGCCGGTGAGAGCAGTGAGGAGGACAGGTGGGTGAACGGACGCCCACAACAGAGCGCAGGTGCTGGGGTCTGTCTGTGCCAGGCCCGGGGCAGCGAGGGGTGGCGAAGGCAGAGCCCATGACCACAGGGTGCTCACAGCGGGCCCCTCATATGTACGGCTGCCCATGTGGGAAGTGCTTTCGGCGGCTTTCCTGGGTGTCAGAACAGCCTTGAATCTGGGTGAGGGTGAACTAAAGTGCCTTAGGGTAACGCTTCCCCCGCCCCAACGCGGCCCTCTGCTGGAGAAGGTTCTCAATGGCAACATACATCTCCGGCGTCGGCGGGGGAATGGCGCCCCCTGGGGGCGGGAACGCGCAGCCTGCACAACTGGAAGCCGCGCTTTTGTCCAAGCGCCGCAAGACTTTCGGAGTTGCCGAACGTCTTCCACTTCTTTACAGTGCTAAGGAACTAAAGCAACTGATCACTGGGGCCAGAGACCAGATCTCAGCTTTATAGACGTTCATACGTGTATGTGCTAGTTTTAAAAAAAACTTCCTTGGGAAGCGTATGGTGGATATCCTGATCATGCTCTTTTTTGCCACCAGAAAATGTGAGTTGAATACTTCCCAAGAAGCCGGTGTTTCACTGTATGGGGACAGCAACAGGGTGTCCCATGTGTGTCCCTCCCATTGCATCACCCACCCTGATGCTGCTGGTCTCCCCTCCTGCTCCTGCCCACTGTGTCTATACCACCCCCAAACCCACCTCCCTTTCTATAAGGTGTGAAGAGCTTTGCCTGTTTCTACTGTTTGTCATTCCTGTGAAAGCCCGCACTGCTAATGATCCCTCTCCACCTCCATCTCTGTCCTGTCTCTCCAGCTACTCTCATGAATTCAGACTCCGCCTCGCCCCCCACTAATGGCCTCTCTTCCTGCTCTGTCATTTGGTCCAAGCCTTCATTTAACACTGTCCCCTCTCACCCTTCCCATCTCCCTGGCAGCTGTGGGCAGGCCATCGGTCACTCAGCTGCCCAGTCAGTCCCTAAGAAGCTCTACATTTGGGGTTTTGAAGCTTCATGCATGGCCTGGAATGGAGGGGCTCCCCTGGCCAGCTTTGGGGGACAGTCTTCAGGGGGCAGGGAGGAGGGGGACAGTATGGCCTGGTGATGGTTAAGAGTGTGGGCTGGAGTCAGGCTGGCTGGGGACTAAGTCCAGCTCCAGCCTCCTCTAGCTTGGAGGAGTAAGCTTGGGCAAGACATTTCTCTAAGACTCAGTTTTCCCCTTCTGCACATTGGGTCTAATACTAGCTTTTCCCTCACATCATCAGAATTAAGTGAGAAAATGTTCATGAACATTGGGCACAGGATTCTGCGCAGGAAAAAAAGCTCTCCTCAAATGTCAGCCACTGTGAGGATGCAGACGAGGAACAGCGTGCACTTCATACAGCCTCATCCTGTCATTTGTACTGAAGGATCGCACAGCACAGAGGTTGAGGGCAGGGGCTCTGCAGCCAGACTTCTTGGTCATGGCCCAGCCCTACCAGTGGGTGACCTTGGGCAAGTCACCTGACTGCTCTGCGCCTCAGTTTCCTCATCCCATCCAAGGGGTGGTAGCGATAGACACAGCACAGGGGTGTGAGGATTATATGAGGTTATATTTGTAAAGCACTCAAAACAGCTCCTGACCCAGCTCGAGTCCTTGGTCTTTGCTGTCATCATCATTAAGTGAGAAGGAGCCTTGTGATGGGATGGAAGGAGCAGGGATGACCACAGCATCTTAGCTGTAGGAACCCGGCCATCTCACCTGCAGAGTGCTCATAGCAGCAGTCGTTCCTGTGACTACCTCATAGGGTTGTCCGGGGACCACGAGAGGACGTCCCGTGCGCCCCATCCTCTCCGAGCCCCCGGGGAGGCGGCCCCACCCCCGGCTGAGCACCAGGGCCCTGCTTCCCTTTCTGCTTTTCTATCCCCAGACATTTAACGAGTTTGAGATCGAGCAGCACCAAGAATGTGCCTACGACCACCTGGAGCTGTACGACGGGCCCGACAGCCTGGCCCCCACCCTTGGCCGTTTTTGTGGCAGCGAGAAACCGGGCCCCGTGGTGGCTTCGGGCAGCAGCCTGTTCCTCAGGTTTTATTCAGATGCCTCTGTGCAGAGGAAAGGTTTCCAGGCGGTGCACAGCACAGGTAGGGGGGCCGGGGGGCCCCGCAGCCCGCTGAGGCCCCAGGGGCTGGACACAGATGGTGATGGAAGCAGGCACAACGGCCGACATGGGGGTGGGGGGGCGTGATCAGCCGTCCCTTTAACCATGAAACGTGGGCAGCCGGAGGCGGAAGGTCGTTTTCTTTGAATGTCCTTAATCGATAACACTTAAAGTGGGCCACCCTTTGTTGGTGCCGCACTTCTTCCCGACCCGCCCTCCCTCCCTCCCTTCCTCCCATCCTCTTTCCAGAACGTATTTGTAATCTTGCTGGTCCGTGAAATCCCAAAGTCTGGGAGCTGAGGGGTGGAGAACAGCCCCTGTCACGCTCTAAGGGCCAGTTCTGGAAAACGGAAGATGTTTCTATTACCCATTATTTTTCCTCCACTTAACATGTCACATCTCAGGGACTTGAAATTTCCCAAAGACAGCTCAGCCCTGGAGGAAATTCTCAGCAAGAGCCCGTGGGGTTAAGAGCTGGGAGTCAGGAAGGACCAGGGGCCGGCTGGGCCTGACAGTGTCACTGGACCTCGGGGAGCTCGGCGTCTTGGGGGCGTGGAGCACATTGAGGACAGGCAGTGGAGGAACTTGCCTTCGGAATTTCTGGCACTTTCTAATCTCTCTCATGAGATCACTCTCATGTATCCATTTATATTATGTGGCCTCTAGTGGCCTAGGCAAGATCGGGTGGGACCCAGACAACCAGAGTTAGGGTCCTAGTCACAAACTCAGAAGCCAGCTCTGCAGAAGACAAGCCCAATGTACGAGGCTCAGCTCACTTGTGACACCCGCAGGAGCCTCAAAGTCAGACTATACTCAGCACTGTCAGATGCAGGAGCAGGTCAGTCTGTAACCTGAGGTTTCTGGGTTTGAGTTTACCAGGAGTTCTGATGTGCTTTTGGTGCCCTCTGTTGGCAACAGTTACAAATCACAGTAAGTAGCTGGGGCCCGCGAGCCCTTCTCTGGTGCTTCTAGCACTTCCAGGGAATTAGGTGGTAGAGATCCAGCCAGCCAGCTTTTTTCAGTAGCTTGCTCAGGAATTCCCCAGAGGCCTTCTGTGACCCAATCCAGGAACATAGGACCTTCCTGGGAAGGGCCAATTTGGACCCCCCAGTAAGCCCTGAAACTAGGACCTATCGGCCTCTGTTTATGCCTCTGTAAAACGGGATAAGGAAACCTGCCAGACTTTCCTACAGGGCACACGCGAGGCCTCGTAGGGAAAGCTGGCCGGCATTGGGGCATGAAGGGAGAGGGCCGGGGCTGGGAAGCGGGTGGGGGTGGCCCACGCGACTCTGTGCCCAGCGGACGGGGCGGCTCTCTCCCTCTGCTCCAGAGTGCGGGGGCAGGCTGAAGGCTGAAGTGCAGACCAAAGAGCTGTATTCCCACGCCCAGTTTGGGGACAACAACTACCCGAGCCAGGCCCGCTGCGACTGGGTGATCGTGGCGGAGGACGGCTACGGGGTCGAGTTGATCTTCCGGACCTTTGAGGTGGAGGAGGAGGCCGACTGTGGCTATGACTACATGGAGGCCTACGACGGCTACGACAACATGGCCCCCAGGCTCGGCCGCTTCTGTGGCTCTGGGGTGAGTGCGCGGGCTGCCAGCAGGTGCGAGGCGCGAGGACTCAGAGCGGGAGACACACCGGGTGCCGGGGCAGGAGGGGGTGCTGCTGGAGCAAACTGGGGAAGGGGAGAGGGGTCCAGAGAGGAGGCGGGGAGTAGCCTGGGAGCCCATCAGGAGGGCCCCCTACTGCTGCAGGCTGTGTAAGAGCTGGCTTTCCTTGAGGACTTTCCTCCCGTGTTTGCGAAGGGCTCCCTACCCTCCCCCCACCTCCATTTTTACGTGGCCTTGAGGCTTTAAAACTTGTTTTTTGTTTTTTGTTTTTTTAAGATTTTATTTATTCATTTGAGAGGAAGAGAGAGAGACAGAGAAACAGCATGAGAGGGGAGAGGGTCAGAGGGAGAAGCAGACTCCCCGCCGAGCGGGGAGCCCAATGCGGGACCTGATCCCAGGACTCCGGGATCATGACCTGAGCCGAAGGCAGTTGCTTAACCGACTGAGCCACCCAGGCGCCCTAAAACTTGTTTTAAATCATGCTTTTGTATATCCCATATGTTCACAGTTCTCTCCCCGGGCGACTCCAGATGCCTGCGGGAATGACGAGGCTCACTAGAAACACAGACCCATGCTCCGGGTCCTCATCATTTTCCTCTCTGTCCCCTCTCTCCTCAGCCACCTCCCCCAGACAGGGCAGGCCTGGTTGGTCCCTTTTCCCCAGCACCTGACCTAGAAGCTGGCACATGGCTGGCACCGGCGGCCGGTACAGGGTCCTGGTCACGCTCCCCCTGCGCCCCTGTCCGTTCCTTGTCTCTGCCTCCGGGGCTGACAGGGCAAAGCTTCTTTGCTGTCGGCTGAATTCACGTCAGCTCATTTTGGAGTCAAAAGTGCTTCTCGCGCTGATCAGAACCTCAAAATGGCATTTATACCGGTCTCTGAATACTTTCCCATCATCTTCCCTCACCCTCCCAAAAAGAAAGGATGCCAAAGTGTGACCTGACCAATGCCATGCCTTTGATAAAGTCTTTCAGACGGGGGGGGCCCATGTGCAGAGGAAAACCTTGGAGAGTCCCGAGCAGTGAGTGTGTGGGAAGCCCAGCTGGGTCCCACTGCGCCCTGGCAGACAGCAGCCTCGGAGCCTGGCCCCCCTTCACTGAGCCCTTGGCGATACAAACGTAGAGGCTCCGTGGCACGTTTCGCTCTTGGACAGGACCTAGGCCGCGAGCATGGGCTTCGGTGTTTGGTCCACTGGGAGATCTATCCCAGTGGTGACTTCAAGGTCAGAAAGACCTGAGCTGGGGTCCTGCCTAGCTGTGTGAATTTGAGTTTCAGTTTCCTTAAGCGTAAAATGGAGATAGCACTCCCCTTGTCAAGTTATATGAGGTAAGATCTGAAAGCGCTCAGAGCAGTCCCCGGCCCGTCTGTGCCCTTCATACCCCATAGATTCCATATGAGCTGTGCATCTAGGACTGTCTTTGAAAACACAGGGCCTGGGGAGCTCTTCTCTGGAGCAGAATTGGCAATGTTTTCCTTTGAGAAAGAGCTCTGTCAATGCCCTTCAGTGTCTCTGATGCCAGGGATGCCCCATGGCAGTGCCGGCCTGCCTATGTTCTCATGTAACCTCTGTCTCATCCTCTGTATTTAAAACTCCAGCCACAGCCAACTGACCTGACATCCCCCTGGTTTTCTTTTGCCCTTTCCTCAGCCATTGGAAGAGATCTACTCTGCAGGAGATTCTCTGATGATTCAGTTCCACACGGATGACACCATCAACAAGAAAGGCTTTCACGCCCAATACACCAGCACCAAGTTCCAGGATGCCCTGCACATGAAGAAGTAACATCGATGTTCATGAAAGACAGGAACTGAGAATGTGTTTTATAACAACAGCACCTTGTGAATCTGCCCTAAACCAGTGTAAAGTTTTTTTTTTTTCCTCAAACAAAAACTCAAAATCTAGCCTTGGAGGTATGGATCTGGTGAAGTTCAGCCAAGAAGGTGGAAAGATGTTTCTTTGATTCTGGCCACAGTGTTATCAATCATGGACTTTGAGAGAAGATTAAGGTTTTGAAGTCACTCACCACTCAAGCTATGCCTGGTCATACTCATTCTCCTTGTCCCTTGCTCCTACAGGACAAGAGGCCAGCCCTTGGGTTGGTCACTCCTCTATTTCTGGACGTGCTTTGGTAGGTGCCAGGCAATGTGACTGTGTCCTGGAGACTCAGGCTGTCTTCTGTCCACATTGAGCAGTGAGGATAAAAGCTTGGCCGTGGCTGATTTGTTACTCACAGCTCTGGCTGGAGACTTTTGCTTTCTGTCTGCCAGGGACATGTCAGCCAGGAAACCTGAGAATACGGATGTCAGGCCTGAAAAAGAACTCGCAGGAAGCAGTGCACAGAGGGAGCTGGAGTATAAGCATCCTTGTCACCACGCTAGTAGACATCAAGCCTCCCCTCTGGGTCATTGGCTCTCCTTGCCACTTCGGGTTTCCCCCATGCCTACTTGCATTAGGAGGTTAAGGCATCCACTGTGAATTCCATCAACACATCTGCTGTTGAGAGTCCCAGTGTGCCGAGAAGAAAACATCCTGCCTCCTCCTGATACTCCTTTCCTGGCTGACTTCAGAAGACCCCACCTGTGCTTGGGATTCCATGGGCTTAGAAGACCATTTCCTCCTCCAGCTTTGGAGGCACTTGCTGTGGTTGACCTTGACTTCTTGACAACTGATTCAAACTGCATTTGCAAGACGTGCAAAGACAGCCCATGAGGGACCAGTTGAAAACTGGTTAATTATAAGTCATGTAATCATCTGTGGGAGGAGTCAACCTGTGACTAACTTCCTATCACCGGTCAGGTTAAAAAGAGTGCATTGGTAACTTCGCTCAGGCTAACTGGTATTCAATCACCAACTTGCAATCAGAATTTACCACACTTGGCACTTGTTCTAGAGAAGTGTAGAGGATGTTGTTTACATAATTTTAGGACCTCCACGTGTACCTTAAACAGTGAGGTAGTTTTGAATGGCATTTCATTAAGGCATCTATGGGCATTATGAGCTAAAAGCTGTGGTATGTTAGCTTTAAAAGAGTATTTATGTTGGAATAATTTTTAAATAATGTTTACATAATTCTAAGTCCTGTTGGGTTGGTATTGAGCACAGGACAGCACACGAGAGTGTTTCCCGTGAGACCCATGATAGCTCCCAAGCACCAGAATTCCTTTGGGATGAAGCGACATCATTTTAAACAAAGTATTTGTAAAAGCTTAAAAGTTGTATTTTTTAAAGATCAGAATATGCCCCCAGAGGACTATGTCTAATTAAAATGATGGCTGGGAGTAAAACAAACAAAGGATAATACAAAGAAAGGTAGAAGAGATGCATGGAAATATTTTTTTCTTTAAAACAGAAAGAAGTTCAAAGTATTATTATTAATAATAATATATGTCTGTATATATGTATGTATGTAAAGGACCAGCTGTCAGAGCCTTAATCGATGCAGTGTGACAGATGCCGACCCGCTGACCGTAGCTTTACTGAGCAGGCCCTCCTGGACCAGCCCTGCATTTTATGTGTGTCGTTCGCCAAGCCCTCTCTTGGCCCTGGATGGAGATTCGGCCTGATTCTCACATCGAGACACATCCCAGGCCCTGCCTCGGGGGCACTCGGGCTCAGCAGTGGGAGCCCCTTATCTTGTGGTCCAACCTGCCTGCGAAGGTAAATCCCAGCTCTCAGATTTTTGTATTTTCTGGGGTTTTACTTTGTCTTATCATATCTGTCAACGTTGAAGCTGAAAGCAGAATACATAAGGTGGCTATTAGAGGTCTTTCTCCAACAACAGGAAAAATCTGTCCTTTCGACCTCTTAGAAGCCTGAATAAAATCAACGAAATCTATGGAAAAGTGGGAGAGAGTCAGAAACAGAGTTGGTTCTGCCTTAGTGTTGGTCACCCTCGTGAAACAATGGTACTTATTTTTATCTCTGTAGTATGAATATTGTCAAAAACCCCCAACTTGGCCAACTTGAAACAATGGAACACTTATGAAAACCTTTAGTGAGGCCTTCTGCGAGTGACGTACTCCCAGACAAGACAAGCCCTGATTCAGCTGGGGCCGTCCAGACCGCACCCCTGGAAGCTCACTTGGAGATTGATGCCCTGGCTTAGCGAGAGAAGGTCCACTCGGCAGGAAGACCCAGGCCCCCTGCCGAAGCTCCTCACAGGACACCTTGCACCAGCCTGCTTTGTCCTTTAACTGGGTGCTAGGCCTTGGGGATGTCACAGAAGTCCAAGACTAGCTTAGGTTCACAGAATTACCTTGATGACCTGATGAAATATTTGGAGTCTGGGTCATCAGCCTGGTCCAGTTCTAGTGTCATCTGGTCTGGCAGAAGCTAGAGCCTGAATCCCAGATCAGGGTGAGGGTCTGGAACTAACTTTAGCCTGTGGAGTTTCTCCAAACGGAGAAGACGAGGCTGTGCATTGATTCACTATAAAACCATTTTCCTCTAAAGTTAAGTTTCATCTTACTCATGAAACCCTCAGCCTGTTTAAATCATTTGTAAAACCCTGTTAACTAGCAAATTCACGCTGGGATTTGCCATTGATCTGGTCCATTTGATAAGTCTCAAATAATTCGTGGTATCGTTGTTTGGTTTGCGGACAAATGTTCCCTTGGCTTCAGCTCCCTTGTTTTTCAAGTTTCCTTGGTAGACTGAACTCCTGAAAAATAATCCCAAATGCCTGAAAGGTTTCTTTTTAAAAAAGAAAGACTATTTAGAGTGCTATCTATAAATATATTGTACTTTTTATTTTGCGTAATTTTACATTTCATGAAATGTTAGTTTCAAAGAGAAAGTGGAGAGGAGCTAATATGTCTGTCTAGAAAGAACTGTTTCATTAAAGAATGTGGATTTACGGATGTGTCCTGGGTTTGTATCACTAGTTTGGACAAGAGTGGTCCCCTTGGTGATAATTTCTTCTAATGCCACAAGATTTGAGGATAGAAGAAGGGGGATCTTCTCAGTGACTTCCTCCTCTCTGGCGAGTACCCGGTGCCTGGTCCAGAACAGAGCTCCCTATTGGACCCAGAAAGTCATGAGCAAAGCTAACAATGGCTTCAAAGTCGCCCCCTTTCTTGAATCCAAACAGGCTGGAAATCTGACCACATCCTTGTTGTGGACTGGTTGCTGTGGGGAGGGTGCTTCATGTAGTAGACACCACCCGCTTGTCACTCAGCACCTCTTCCTACTTGTCTCCACCTGTTCCTGTGCCTGAGGACCACCGCTGACATCTCAAACTAAAGCTCACGGCTCCCGTCAGGTGGTCCTCTCTCTCTCTGGGCTCTGGTGGCCACTCCTCCGCCCCCCCTTCAGGCCTAGGGGTGGTAATGACACCCAGCTGGTGTAATCCTGGGTCACTGCGTTATCCCCCAAGGAGGACCTTTATAAATAGTCCTTGGAATAAGCCCTCGTCAAATATAGCAAATTGAGTATCTCACGTATTTCCTGTGATACAGGCTCATTTTTAACCCAAGGACAGAGGTTCCATCCAATCAAGCACAGTCTTCTTGGGTTGACCAGTTGACGAGACCTTAGGGTGTGTTTAGAATTTTGTGGGTCATATCAGGGAAGGGTAATAAGGAACCGTGTTTTTTAGAACACTCAGATTGGTCTTAATGCAGAACGATCTAAATGCAGAACTCTTTCTGCAACTGTTCTGTGCCACACGTGTGGAGTGTCGAGGTTTTAGGACTTTCCTTTTTGCAGTCACCAGTACTTCAAGGAGGAGCCCCAACGGGACAAGGGTATGAATGCTTGATGGATCAGTCAGGATAAGGTAGTTTATGCTGTGTCAAAAGCAACCCTCAGATATCAAGAATTACATAGGAAAGGCTTATTTCTTGTTCTTACTACGTGTCCATTTCTGGCATCTGGAAGCTCTTCCACATTAGCCTTGGTCATGACGGGGATGATGACGCCACTTCTACCTGGAGCATTGCTGATTTCTAGATCAGGCAAAGTCTCTGACAACTGCCTAGGAGTGCCATATCAATTCCACTCCTGTGTCCTTGGCCAAAGCAATGCATACAGCTACTCTTAACTTCGGGTTAAGAATGAGATGAACTAGAAATATCTGCTGGACCCCAGTAATGACTCCCACATGTGACATTCACAGATAGAGAAATGACCAGAATCTTTCTGTGTGTTTTAACATTTTACTTCATCACTATTTCCTTACTGACAATTTAGATACAGATTTGAAAAAAATCAAGAGTCAGGCCATTGGTCATTTGGCGTGGTCCAGGTTTTTAAACTGACCAGTTATTGCCTGGCAAACCACTCGTGTGATTGTACAACTTTAAATGGTGGCAAGATAAAAATGATGAGAGCATCTTCGCGTCAGTGGCCGCAATCTCCCACCCACGAAAGGGCATTCTTTCTACAGTTTCTGAGAAGATAATTCCCAGGCCTAACGCTGCCAGAGGAGGAGAGACCACTCATCTCACCCATTCCCTCTTCTTTGAGTGATGGTGCCATGTTCCTTTCGCAGAACAAACCACCGAGTCTCCAATCGGAAGGCGTGGCGTCCTGGGGCACATGACCCCAGCCAGACCGATCAGATCCTCTTCTTGGAATTGAAGTCTTGATCAAGGGGCGAAAGGGCTGCGATGTGTTGGAGCTCATTTTCCCTGGGGGAATATCCTGAGAAGACAGTGGAAGAGTCTCTGCTGCTGAAGCCTCAGGAGCAGCCTCACTCCGCCTTCCCAGAGCCTGCTTCCCTGGCCCTCTCTTCTTTCCTTGAGCTCTGCTATACCCAGCCAATAAAGCCCCCTTCTTCTTAAGTTAATCACGGCCCATTTGGATGCCTGTGACCAGAGAACCACGACTGGCCCGGACACTTGGCCAGTGCACCACTGACTAGAGGTCTTAGCAATTCTCCTAAAGGAATAACCTGCCCATTGGAGGGAGAGGTGGTGGGCAGTGGGTGTATAGCAAACAGAAGGAGTCAAGAAGGACCTCACCGGCCTTACCCCCCCCCCTCATAGACAGCCTAGCCAGAGGGGGCGGGGGCCATGATCTAGAGTCCCTGGGTGCAGCTCTGGTCCAGGTGGGGGTCTATGCCCACCACGCCAAGTTAGAGGCTCACTCTGTGCTGGTTGTACTGAATTCACGAGTCTGTCATTGTAAACCTTATAGCCCCACTTTACAGCTGGAGAGTGAGGCTGGAAGAAGTTACTCTGCTAGCCTAAGACCGTGCAGCTTCTGCAATTGCAGCTGAGGCGTTCAACACGGGCCTGTCTGAACTGTGTCTCCATGACATCCAGACACCAGGACGTCAGCCGAGGCGTCGCCGTGGAGTCTTGGGAGCTGGAAGCCCCGTGAAGCACCGGCCATGTGGGCCCCGCCCGCTCCGGTATCCTCGGGCCTGGATCCCTGCGCCCACGTCCATTTTTCCAGTATCACCTGCCTGAACACACAGGGCCCCTGTGCCCTCCATGAGCCAAGCCCCAAACCCAGGAGTTAGCTTTCTTCTGCACATTTTAGTCCACTGTCAAATCTCACCGCCTTTACCTCCACAGTAAGTCACAGACCCATTCACTGTTCTCCATTTCCACTGCCCCGGTCCCCGGGCGGCCGTCACCAGCGCTCACTTGCTCGCTGCCGGCCGGGCGGCCCTTGTAATCCGGGCTTCACAGGAAAGCCAGGTGACCTGCGTCCACGTCACCTAGCTCCGCTCCCACTTAGACTCCTGAAAGCCGTCCCACGGCTCGACGATGGAAATCTCGCCGTGCCCTGCCATGCTCACCCCATCTGGCCCCTAACTCACTCTGTCTTTTGTTGTTGTTGCTAGGACATTCTGTTTGTTTCCAGTGTAGTTCACATACCGTGTTACAGTAGTTTGAGTTCTACGATATAGCGATTCACCGATTCTGTACATTACTCAGTGCGCATCATAAGTGTGCTCTGAATCCCCATCACCTGTTTCACCCATCCCCCACCCCCTTCCCCTCGGTAACCACCAGTTTGTTCTCCATAGTTAAGACTCTTGTCTCTTTTTTCCTTTTTTCTTTTGTTTTGTTTCTTAAACTCCACACATGTAACTCACTCTGTCTTACTCCTTCTGAGGTCGCTCCCCTAGTTTATGTTCCTTCAGGACCACGGGCCTCTTCCCGGGCTGTGCCTGCTTCAGCCCTGGAGCTCTGCATATGCTGTTCCCTCTGCCGGGGACCCTCTTGTCTGTCACACACATCTTAAGTGTCATCCCCCAGGGACATAGAAAGCAACTGTTTCCCAGTCACTCCGGTCACTCCTTCTGCTCCTCTCCTAGCGGGTCTCGCTTGTTCTGACTGGGGTCCACCTGTGCTTGCTGGAACATACACTCCCCAAGAGCTGGGGCCTCAGTTGCCTCATCGCCAAGGCCCAGAACCATGCCCAGAAAACCACTTGACATATAGAAAGTGCCAGAAAGATTTGTTGAATCATGAGCAATGCATTCACTTAAGTGATCAGATTTATCGGTCAGAATTCTGTTGTTTTGTCGGCATGGGACTCCAGTTCCCTCCCTGTTTTAAAGAAGCAAATTCCTAACAAAGACCTCATAAAAAATATAAAGCAGTCCCCGTCAGTGGCTTCCTCCAACTCTACAAGGGTCCCCACTCAAAATGTGAGAACAGAAAGGGGGTGAGGCTGAACTCCCCTCCAGGCAGCTCACTGACCAGGGAGTGTGTTCGCCGGGGGGCTACAGCCCGGCCTCCAACACCCCTCCCGCAGCCATCCTCTGTGTCGATGCTGTTGGTGTACTGATCCCACGGAGGCTGGGGCAGCGGGCCACGCGGGAGCCGGCAGCAGGGGAGGGTGCGGCCGGCCTCAGCCTGCGGATCCCATTGCTGCTAAAGAGCTGCTGGCCACAGAAGCCACCGAGCTCTCGAGCCAGCCGTGGGTTCTTTGCTGAGATGGAGGCGTAGCTGAGGAAGGAGCCTGGAAAGTCAGAGGGGAAAAAGAAAACAAAGAGGATGGGTGATGGGGCCATCCACAGTGGCCACGAAGCAGACACCACCTCCCTGAGGGGTGGGCAGGCGACTCGGCTACTCCCCTGACCATAAATGGCTTGGCTGTCATGGAGCCACCCCTTGCCCTGTCACCCTGGCTCTCCCAGCTGGATGCTCCTACAAATGTGATACATAGCCTACCACGCAAGCAAGAAAGGAGCTTGCCCAGGGTGGTGCTGGGAGAAGGTTCTTGGGAGGCTGTCAGACATGGTGAGTAGGCTAGCATGTTTTCTCACCCTAACCTTCCCTTCTCGCTCTAAAAAACAACTCCAGGCATTGAAAACTCACATCTCCTCATGCAAATATGACGGTACAGTTAGTACTAGGACTTCAAGGGGCTTGGGTGGTTTTTTTTAATTATTATCTTCCTGTATGCAAAATACTAATCATTAAAACAATTCTCATCTAATATTTGCTGATCTCATCTTTTATTTTAATATTAAGGTTTTGTGTTTAAAACCCCACATACAACAAGGGCGCGAAGTAGATGTTTTGGCTAAATTCATTTCCCTGTTGAAGCAGTGGGTGGGATCCACGCCTTTATCCTCATTTGCTCAGTCTGCCTTCCGTTATGTGATCAGCAACATAGATACTCAGAAGTTGCATTGGAAACGTTCCGATTTTCTAACTGACTTGTGACCCATGTTTGGGTGTGACTCAATCAAATGAAGTTTGTTACGTTAGAAGAGACTTCTGGGGTTCCTTTATTAAAGAGATTATGAGAAGGAGTTGAATTCTGGCTTTGGACTTAGAAAGATCCGTGATCTAACCAGTCCCAGACCACTTACCAGCAACTGTCTTGCTCTCAGTCCCCACACCCACGACGTAGGGATGATACGGTCCCCTTGCGGGACCGTCATGCATGCGGTGTCTGACACACAGTGTCCCCTCAAGAACAGTGAGCAATTATCCTGTCTCTCCCTCCTTCTCCTCACAAATGGCAAGCTCATAATGAGGACCACTTGGCCACTGAGATCCTCATGTGCCTTTAGAGTTGTTATGCAGAAATTACAGAGGGCTTGGACTAGCAAGCAGTGCATTATAGCAAATTCAGTACTTGGAATATTGCGAATCTATGCATGCAGTTCCATCCAATAAGAACTTCCCAAGTGGCTTCCTTGTGCCTTGCTCCGTGCTGGCCAGGCCACGAAGAACATGACATCGTGTGACCCCCCTGCACTGCTACACACTCAGAGCATTTTACAGTTTGGATGTTGTTCCCTCTGGGCTTCTGGGCAAAGCGAGTTAACATCATCCCTGTTTTAAGCCTGGGAAAATAGATTTGCTGCGAGGAAATGGAGACCAGAGACTTCGAGTCACTTTTCCAAGGCCACACAGTTCCTAAGTGACTGGGTCTGGACTGGAAGCCAGATCAGGTGACTCCAAGCCCAGGGCTGCCTCACCCCACCCAGCGGCCTGTCTAAAGAACACGACCTCAGAGTCTCCCCAGCCAAACTGATGGGATGTTTTTCTGGCCACGAGGGCACTGGAGTGTTATTTCTACAAAATATGAATGTTTTTCTGAAATTGGCCAAAATCTTCGTCATCCAGATATTGATAAACAGCACACGCAATGGCCCACTTGCTGCTGCTCCCCCTCTTTTGCTGTCCCCCCAAAGGGAGCTTTGTCTTGGGCCTGCTGACATCAGTACCCAGTGTTCACTGATGAGATAAGGCTCTGGGCAGCTGCGTCCCATACAGTGGCCACCACGTACCCTTGCAGCATCTGTGGGCGTGGTTGGTGTTAGCACAGAGGGCAGTGGTTGGGTCCCTTGAGTCAGAAGCCCCGGAGCCAAGGTGGCCCAGATATTCCTCTTGCTCTAATACTGTCCTAGAAGAGTGTTTATCTTGGTATCAGTAAAGAGCAGCCTGGACAGACTGGCCTCGGCTAGCCCAGACCGCAGGGACAGAAGATGGGGACAGGGAGGAGGGAGGAGCCGCGGGAGGCTCTGCACAGGCTAACAATTCGGTGCCCCACGGAGCTCACGCCCTTTCAATATTGACTCCATATTTGGGGGAGAGGTGAGGCTGGGTGCTGAGTGAGGGGAGGGTGCAGAGGGTTACCCTCTCCTCTGTTGTCCTGAGCAGCTCTGCCCGAGCCTGGAAGCTGTGTCTCAGACTCAGTACGCACAGAAGCCTTGTCCTTCTCACGCCCTCTCCCCCGGGGAGGGAGTTCAGAGCAGGTGTTCTTGTTGGAGCCTGCCCCTCGTGGCCCTTACTTCCTACCCCGAGCAGGAAGTACCAAGTACTTCTAAACTCACACCATTCCCTCCCTCAAAGGAGCTCTGGGGGAAAACAGCTTTCAGTGCTTTGCTGTATTTCTAACACGGTCTTTGCTGCCCTCTGAGTTGGGGCCCATCAGGCAATCACTGGCTGGCCCCTTCATCAGGCCCTGGCTGGGCATCTGAGGAGGGGAGAGGGGCCGAGATTGGGAGCAGAGGTTGGGGTTTGACTGAGCCTGTGGAATCAGTGAATTTTTCTGTGACCCACCAGGCTGGGTGACAGTTGGTAGAGGGGTCAGGAGCCTGGCTGACCATTCTCAGAGCGTTAATGTTTCCTTCTCTCCATCAGAGTTTCTCACTGAACTTCACGCTGCCGGCCAACACGGTAAGTGCTGCAGGCCCCAGTCACCGGGCAAGTGGGGCAAATGGGCACACTTGCGTGGGGGTGGGGTGAGGAGGGGCGGGCAGAGCTCCTTCACGTGGACCTCATGCTGAGGGCCGAATCCCAGGTTTTCAAAGGCACTTATGAACAGTTGTGGTGTGGGGGGAGGGACTGGGACAAAATTTTTCAATAATAAAAATTATAAATAAACATTTTGAAAGTAAAATAAAAAATCAATAATAAAAAAATAAATAAAATGCAATCTGAGCAGAAAAAAAAAAAGAAAAAAGAAAAAAAAATCAAAACACCTAAATTCCAATCAGGAGAAAACATTGGTGTCACTCCTTCTAGTCCTGTTTGACTTTACCTTTATTTTGACTTTACATATATTTTGATATGTGTTGTCTCTGTACCATTGTATTCTTACTCTACATATGATTTTATATAGATTTTATGATACATATTTTCCATCAGCCCTTATAACCACAACTGAGGATAGTCACGTGATATTATTTCTTTAATCTTTAATCTGTTAGCCACAATTAGGAATCATTTTGTGATAAAAATAGTTATAGCTAAATCCTTGTCTGCATTTAAGGTGATTTCCTTAGTGTATGTTCTAGAAGGCGTTGCTGGGTCAACAAGAATGAACAGTGTATGGCTCTTGATTATGGCATTTAGTTCCAAGTTAGATGGAGATTGTCAGTTGCTGAAGGCATATAGTTTCAGTCCTTTGCTGATCTTCTGTCTTCTGCTCTCATGTTGTGTTAGAGATAACACAGCCAGGCCTGTTTTCTGACCCGTAGTGCGGCTATGATTGAGCCAAGCATTTTCCTGGCCGGGTTTTTTAGTGGGTTTGGTTGTGCCAAATTTTCCTGAGAAGTTACATTGTTATTCAAAGAGAATAAATGGAATCTGCCTGGTGAGAGGACGCAGACGCCAGTGATCATTGTTACTGTAATGCGGAGACATGGTCCTGGAGGGCAGCGGAAAGGGGCCACCTTGTGACTCACTGCCTGCCTCTGGCGCCCACTACTGGCCGCCCTGGATCTCTGTTCCTGGCCTCCCCGGGCACCCACTCTGCCCTCGGGTAGGGCCCTGCCTTCGGGATCTCCCTGTCTTGCTCTGCTCCCTGCTTCAGCCTCTGACTGTTGTCAGACTCCCCTAGCCCTCTCTGTACCTGTCAATACCTTTTGATATGGTCCCTGCTGGAACATTCTCCCTGACTGCTTGAACTCAGCAGGTCTGTGGAGACCCCAGGTTCTGTCTTATCCTGGCTTGGCCTACCCTATGAGGGTAACTCAGAGAAGCTCGGGGCGGTGGAGGTGAGTGGGGCTGGGAGGGAAGTCCTTATGATGCTAGTCATCGCCTTTTGTAATGCCTTCTCTGTTAATAGCCCATTTCTCTGAGAACCTTCCCTTCCTCCCTTTGGACCTGTGTAGGGCAACCAACCATCCCAGTTTGTCTGGGACTGTCTGGGTTTAGCAGTGCACGTCCTATATCCTGGGCAAGTTCTCTGGGTGGTTGGTAACCCTATCTGGCAGTTACATTCTATTGCATAACCCTTCCTTTTTGGGGACACCTGGTGGCTCAGTCGGTGGAGCGGCCTGCTCTCGATTTTGGCTTCCGTCATGATCTCAGGGTCCTGAGATCGAGCCCTGGGTCAGACTCTACACTCAGCGGGGACCCTGCTTCAGGATTCTCTCTCTCCCTCTGCCCCTCCCCCTGCTCACTCACGTTCACTCTCTCTCTCTAAAATAAATAAACGAAACTTAGGAAAAAATAAATAAATAACCTTTCCCCTTTGGTGCAGATGAACGACTGGAATGCCAGTACCCTGGGAAGTAGGGGAGAGGTGAATACCTGGTTCATCAGAGCCTATCTGCAGGGGGGTTTGGAACCGGGGTACATATGCAAGTCGGTCTCTGCTAAGCCATACTGAAATGTCAAGGACAAAAAACTGTATTGGCGTCCTGCATTTGGTCACGGAAGGCAGTGCAGCCCCGTGGTGAAGAGCATGGACCCTGGATCTACCACGTAGGGCATCTACCACTTAGGGCATTTTGGCATTATGGCTTAACCTTGGATGGGCTGTTTGTATAATGTGCACTGTGTGGTGGTGTTTTTTTTAAAGATGTATGTTCTTTTCCCACACAGACTTCCTCCCCAACTGCTACAAGTGGGAAAGAAGCAGTAAGTATATCACTACATTATGGAACCTTGGTTTGGTCGCTTATAAAATGGGGATAATAATGCTCTAGCCATTTCCGACCTTAGTTTTGAGGAGTAAAGTTCAATACGTGAACTGTCACCAAACACAGAATCTGGCTCAATGATTATTCTTACAACCAACTCAGCTCAAAAATGAGGGAGAGCATGCAGGAATCACAGGCAATTTTCACAAAGTGTTAAGCAGAAAAAGCTAGACATAAAAGAGTACAAACTTTTCATGTCCATCTAGGTGATATTGGAAAACAAAAACAAAACTAATTTACAGTGACGGAGTTCAGGATAGTGGTTACACATGCCATTTCTGGAAGGGAGTATGGGGCAACTTCTGGGGTCCCGGCCATGTTTTGAGTCTTCATCTGGGTGCTGGTTAGCTGTGTGGGTTCCACATGTGAAAAGTCATCCAGCTATATATTTATGATTTATATACTTTCCTGTATGTATGTTATATATGAGAGTTGAGTGTTTATAGGGATTCTGCAGGTTATCTTTGATATTTCCAGGTAATCTACAAATCTGAAAATTTAGGTGGAGACAAGCATGGCCGTTTCCACTCAGATCAAAGCAAAATGGAAATTTGAAAATTAACTGCTTAATGCATATAGTGCAGGTAAATGTAAACATTCACACCAAAATGATGTGGGATATAAGTTTTTACTTTTTGCCAAACTGATAGGTTAAAATAGTATCTAATAGTTGCTATGAATTGTTTCTCAGCTTTTGCTATGTTGATGAGACATCTGTATTTCTGTTTGTAGGAATGGCCTATTCGTACCCTTTGCCCATTTTTCTTACTGGATTGTCACCCTTTTCCTATTGATTTAAACTATGTAAATTAAGTCCTATGACATGAATCATTTGTCATGTGCATTGCAAACATCTTTTCTGCAGTATTTTATTAACCTTTTAATTTTGTATATGACACTGAGAGGTTATGCAGTTTTTGTTTTGTTTTATTTTTAATCAACTGGACTTTCCCTTTATTCTTGGAGAACCTGACTCTGCCCTTCTCTGTATGGCAGGACTGTGGGCCCTCTCTTGGATTAGCAGCAGGCATCCCGTCCCTGGTGGCCACAGCCCTGCTGCTGGCTTTACTATTTATGCTGATCCGCCGAAGAAGAAGCAGCAATGAGTCCACCGAGGTGAGTAGCAAGCTCCTTTGGGTCTGGCCGTGTTGGCAGGAATCAGTATTTCAGTGAATTGGCTTTGGACTGAGGGTGTCAGGATCCAAATCTGTTTCTTGGGGACACAATGGTGGAAGTTTCCTGCTCCTCAATTTCTATCTCAGACTCATGATACTACACTCCAGGCAGAGCCGATCTGTCACCCAACCTTCACTCTAGGAAATCCGTGGCAACAAGGCTGGTATTTGGGGTGGCAGAAAGTAGTTGTGGAGAGGGACAGGTGTTGCCATGGCAAATGCACATCTGTACTGTGGATGTGTTCTAAAGTCAAGGACAAAAGGGCCCAAGCTTCAAAAGAGAGTGGGACAATCTCAGGAAAGGTAGGAGACAAACAAGTGCTGAGGGGTCTATGGTAGGGATAGGCCCACAAATATGTGGCTCTGTTTATCTTTGCCCTTTTTCTACATCAGAACACACATCAGTCACAAGAGAATCTACCAACCCCACCCCTCCAAATGCTGGATTGCTCTGGAGACCAGGCTCAGAATTCAAAGGCCACCCAGACAATATCCAAGAGATTTCTCTGGTTATAATACAACTGTGTTTTGTGGACTCCAGGCTCTAATTCCCTCCTCTATGAACAATTCTGGTTTTTCTCATACTGATAAGCATGAATGCGAGAAAGACAACCTAGGCTCTCCCCCTGGCCCTGCCACTTAATGATTTATGTGATCCTGAGCAAGTGACTTCACATTTTCTGTGCCTTGGCTAGTTCTTTCCAAAATAGGAGTCATAAACACTACCCTCCCTATTTTAGGAGGTTGTGAGGATGGACTGAGATCATGGTTGTAAAGATGTGTTGACAAGCTGTAAACTTTAAACATGTTAAGGTGTATTGTGGTTGGTGGTGGTGCTATTTATTTAATTCATAGTTCCTTAACCTTTGGGGCACTTTAAAAATCATCTAGGAGGCTACCAAAAATACCAATCACCAAAACCAATCAAATTAGTATCTCTGGATGATAGAGCTGTGGCATGCAGAATTTTAAATATATACTAAAGTAGAGAGGATAGTATAGTGAACCCAATTATCAAAATGTGGCCAATCTTGTTTGATCTCTACTCCTACCCACTTCTCCCCACTGTCCAATCCTGGATTATTTTCATTTACAATGGTATTTCTCATTTAAGGATTTTTGGGGGGGGGGGTAATTATTATCTGTTTGCTTACTTTGTTTTGTTTTTAAAGCTGTCTAGTGATTCTTATGTGCATGCAGATTTAAGAACTGCTGATTTTAATCATGATCATGGGCAAATGCTGTGACCCTTCATTTCTTCTTCATTTCTTAATTTATTTTTACCAACTTAGGAAAGTGAGAGACCATGTGAAATTTCAGAAATCGATGACAATCCCAAGATTGCTGAGGTAAGAACTCTTGGTTAAAATCACTGTATATCAATGGGGCCCCTGGGTAGCTCAGTTGGTTAAGTGCCTGACTCTTGATTTTGGCTCAGGTCAATATCAGGGTCATGAGATCGAGCCCCATGTCAGGCTCCATGCTCATCGGGGAGTCTGCCTGAGATTTTCTCTCTCCCTCTCCCCCTCCCCACTGTGCTCTCTGTCTCTCTGTCTCTCTCCCAATAAATAAATAGATCCTAACAGATTTTTTTTTCATGGAACTCAATAAGATACTCCTAAAATCTATATGGAAGAAGGCAGAAAAATATTTAAAAAGTAGTAATGAACAGACAGAACAAACAGAAAACAAATGGGAAGATGGTACATTTCTAAATGAACCATACTTTATACATTATATTTAATGACTTCATTAAATACAAATGGTCTAAATACCCCAGTTAAGAGGCAGAGATATAAAAATAAAAATTTTTTTTTATCAGTTTGGATATAAAAACAAGATCCAGCTGTATACTGCCTGCAAAAACTCACTTTAAATATAAAGACACCAATAGATTAAGGTAAAAGGAATGAAAAAGGAATACCATGCTAACATTAAACAGAAGACAGTTGAGTGGCCAGAAAAAATCTGCCAGGGCATTAAACTTGGCAATTGTAGGCCTCCTCTCATTTGTTTTCTGTCTCTCAAGAATTACATCCTTCCTTTCCTGATGTCCAGCATCTTGATAACTATTGTTTTAAACGTGTTTTTTTTTTTTTCTTTCTGACTTTTGGTTGTTTCAAGTGGGAGGGTAAATCTGGTTGTTGTTGCCCCATTTGGGCCAGAAGCAGAAGTCTTTGTTCTATTTTTTTAAAAACCTGTTTATTTTCTCAAGACTCCTAGGAGGTCACCCACACATGAGAAGAATCTGATGGGAGCAGAAGGAACCCACATATATGTGAAGACTGTAGCAGGAAGCAAGGAGCCCATGCATGACCCTCACCGTCCTACTGTCGAAATGGAGAGAAGGAGGGGATTGTGGTGGCTTATGCCCAGATTGAGCCTGGAATGATGCAGTTTGGTCAAGGAACAGATCTAGAGCTAGAGCAGAGCTGAAAACCCAGGGATCTGTGCTCAGAGTGAGGAGAGATACTAAGCTGCTTCTTAACCAATCCAAATTTCCTTTGCAGATCTGGAAAACATTTGGGTTGGTTTGTCTCTGTAGGTGAAAGAGCTAAGGACTCATTCCAACATTCAGATCTTGTTGTTTAATAAGCAGTGAAGCACCAAGTGAGGTCCAGAAGGAGCCCTTTGATCCTAGTCTTGACCTATGCTTTTCTTTATGATTTTGGGAAAGGGGCTTGATTTCTGTGTGTCTTGTCTTATCATCTTTTTTCCACATCTCTTTTCTCAAAAAAACAAACAAAAACAAAACAAAACAAAAAAAACATCACACCTGGCTTCCATGGGAAGGTTGGCCAGGGCTAACATTGTGCAAGTTGGGATATAAATAAAACTTAAAGGGGATGTTTGAGGGAAAGCAATTTCTTATTTCTGAACATCTCAAGGAAGAAATCATGTGGAGTCATACGTTCCCTGACCACAGGGGTAGCACATAGATGGATCATTCACTGCTCCCATTTGTGTTTGTGATCAGAGAGTACCTAAGGAAGGGGATTCTACAATACACTCTGTGTGTGTGTGTGTGTATGTGTGTGTGTAGGGTAAATACGGTAGAGTAGTGAAGGCAAGGGTTGTTCCAAGAGATTATTAGAAAAGAAGGCTATATCCATTTTGTGGGAGTGGAGGAAAAGGTCTCCACTGCACTCTCCAGGGAGAGAGAGTGAGAAGACTCAAAGTGGATGAACACAGGACCAGAGGGGTGGGCTAAGTAGCAATTTGCTTGCCATCTGAGGAAAGTCTGTGAACAGCATCAGCTGGCTCAGGTCAGGCCTTCACCAGGGCTTCTGTGAGGAGGCTTCCAGGAGTCCTGGTTCCCTCATGCAGGGAGGGCCACTGCTGGTGAACAAGCAGAGTCTCCTAGTGGGAGAACCTGGGTCCATAGCATCTCAGGATCCATTTACCAACTCTGCTTTGATAGGCCGTGGAGGCGTTTCTTTCTCACACAGGGCCTCTGATTGCTCAGAAACAAGTCCCCTCTTCTTCAAACAACTAAGAACAAGTTCTACAAACTCAATTACTGCCACCTGCCAACATGTGCTTTCAAGGCTGCCTCCCTTACCCTGGGTGTCCTAAGATGAAAAGACCAAGAGAGAGCATCTCCCTGAGAGAGAAAGGGCCACTAAGATCCAGAGAGAGACTCAGAGATAGAAAACAGGGGAGATATTCCTTTGGCATTTAGGAAATTGTACTTCTGAGTGAAAGCAGTGGGAATACATCCTGTGTGTGGCCTTGTGCTGGGACGCCTAGAGAACAGCTCCATGATGACAGAGAAGCAGACTATGACCTGAGCAGAGTGGGTCTAGAGTTAGTATGCCATCCCCCAAAAGCTCCAAAAGGGACCTAGAATCCCCTCCAGAATCTCTGATCTTCTAGTTAAATCTGTTTCTCTCCTCAAGATAAGTCTTCAACTCTTCGTTTTCATTTTGTTACATTTTTGTTTAGAATATTTTTATAGTATTTGAGTGAAAAAGAAGACTCCACCATCTCTTGTTTCCTCCTATTTTTATTGCAAATGTACAGTATCTCAGCTACACTGTGGGAAAAGTGGGCTTTGATGAGCTTCCCCGAAGCCACCAATTTCAACATCATTTCTATGGAAAAATGCATTGTGAATTCTAAGCAACGGTCATATAAATGGCCTACTAGAGCATAACCAATTACCAGGTGTGGCCTTATCAAGTTTCCAAAACTATTCCTAAAGGCAATCTGCATTTCAATAAGGCTTAAAGAATCTCATATTTTCCTAAGGCATCTTTACTACAATATGAAGCATGATTTATTTAACCTGAAAAAAAAGCTGAAAAAAAGTTGACAACTTTTTCTAGGCATTTCTTTCCCATGGTTCAATGTAATCCAATCCCAGATGTGCAAAAATTTCTTCTTCACTTTCTGCTTTGAGGAATATTTTCTGAAAGTATAAAAAGAAATATGTGCGTTCAGATATTTTTAAACATCTCGATGCTGACATAGTGGAAGTTTTACTTATAAATTGTCTTGGCAGAATGAATTATTACAAAAACATAATTCCCTGCTTCTGAGTATAAAAAGTCATCTTAACTGCTTTTTTTAATCTTAACTGACTTCTGTAATTTTTACATTTTCCCACCCAAAAATTTGGTATTTCACAGATTAAGGTGAAATTATGACAACCTTACATATTTAGCTACGGGCATTTGGTATTTTTCCTATGGGTCTGTAGTTCTTAACCACAGTTGTGCATTAGAACCACCTGAAGGGACTTCTAAAAAAAACATTGAGCTACACCCCAATCCAGTGAAATGAGAATCTCAGGAGAGGTCCTATCACCAATCTATTTAAAGGCTCTGGGTAATTACCACGTGCAGCCAGAATGATGCATTGCTGCTCCAGGTAACAAGGAGAGGCAATTATAGGTTACGTGTATATGTTGGGTTCTCCTTCTAGCCTTCCTCACCTGCCCCACCCCAACCCCCACCAGGCTCCCACCCCATGATCTCTTTTAGATCAAGCACCACTTCTCCGCCATCCCTTCTTGCTTTTAGCACAGTGTGGGGCATATAAGATGTACTCCATTATGTTAAACTATTTAGAATGTGTTCATTTGTAAGCATTCCTAAATTGTGTTATGTGAGTCTGCCTCCACTCACATGCTTGACATCTGAGGTTTCCCTGCCAATCTACAGTCCTCTCATCTGACAGCAGCACCTTGATTTTTCTTTGGAAAACCACCCTTCCTTCCTCTCCGTCCATGAGGATCAGGTGTGGGGTTAATTCCATCTCCAAGGAGGGCCACATGATCCAACCCTGACCAATCAGAGCCACGGTAAAGGGTTCAGGGATGGGCACACGGCCCAGGCCTGGCCAATGAATATCAGCTAGGACTCTTGATATTTCCTTTTAGGAAAGAGGTTCTTCTCTGTCAAGCTGGAAGGATGGGAATCATGGGAAACTCATGCCTGAGAATGAAACCAACACTGAGGGAAACCTGCATTAGCAGCTGGATGCAGCCACACCTGAAGTCAGTATTACCCCCAGATGCTGCAGTATATAAGCCAAGCACCCCTTTTTTGCTATGCCATCTTGGATTGGGTTTCTGACTTGTAACTGAGATAGCTCTAACTAAATACAGCTCATTTAGACTATAAGCTCCTAGAGCGTAAAGATCATTGCTTCTAGTTATTTTGTGTCTTATTCCCCTCAGAGCTTAGTTTAGTGTCCTTGACCACTGTAAGAACAGTAGACCTTAGCATGTAGATTTAACAGATGAATATTTAACTCTTCATAATTCATACAGTAATTTATCATTTTGATGAGGCATGAATTTGGATCATGACCAGTGTATGGCTAACCAAGTGAGTTATATAGCTGGTGGGTAAGCTTAGCTGACTGCTCATCTAAATCTCAGGGCAGCTCTGTTGCTCTCTCTCTTGCAGTAACACTCTCATTAATGACCTATGTGGTCACTTAAAATGCTACTGCTCATTGCATTTAAGGGGTACTTTAGTGGTATTTATGACTTGGGGGAATTCTTGGTTTCCTTTGGAATTATTCACTAAAAATACCAAAGATATACCAGACTCAATGAATGTTCACTGCTGGACTGGTTCTGAGGGCCCAACAAGCTCATCATCTTTGAGCCCAAAGCCCTTGAGGTACATTCTGGGCCAGGTGGGGACCATGCTCCCATCAGGATCCTTCTAGCTGCCCTCAACTCTGATCGGTGGGAACAGGACACTCAGGGCAGAGGAAACTGAACCTGGACACTAAAATCAGTTCAGAAAAAGTGCTCGGGGAGCCAACCATTGGGATGAGGATTGACTACCTTGGTCTTGTCATATAATGCATGGTTGTCCAGCACCATCTTCCGCTCATGTGTGGCATAGCGTCGGAGGTCTCTCTCAAACTGCTGGACGAGATATAATTAAAATAAATCACTATCAAGCCTAGAATGTCTTCAGTATTATATGTTTAGAGATATCTAAATCTCTACAGTGAAATCTCTCTAAATATTCCCAAAGCAATTTTCTCCCCGAGGGCAAAGTTCCGTGATGACAGAGCTCTGTGCTTGCACCTGCACACTAGAATGGAAGCTCCCTGAAAATAGGAGCCTGACTTGTTCATGACCATATTCTCTTCTCTTATAGTGCCTGGCACATAGAAGATGTACAGCAAGTGTTTGTTGAATGAATAAACAAATGTTGTGAGGATCGTGTCCAGGATAATACCTGGCCCCAAGTAAATGCTGGATAAATATAGTAGGTGTTTTTTGTTTTGTTTTGTTTTTTGGAATATCACTATTGTAAGAGAGGATGAAGAGTCAGGAGACCCAAATTCCAGCCTGGATTTTGTCCCTATTTGGCTGTGCTTCTTTTGGCAGGTCACCCAGCTTCTCTGAATCTTGACTGGTCGAACAGGAGGATGAAGGAAGTACGTAAGGTCCCCTCTGGCTCTAACAGTCTCTCAGATGAGATTGTGTAAAACTGATGGTTTGAGCCACCTGTCCCAGACTAGCATGTCCTATGGTCAAGGGTGGGCTCTGAGGCTGCAGGGAGCGAAAGCTGAAGCCTAAGATAGAGGACAGTTGCCGTTCAGGTTGATTTTCCTGAGAGAAGCACAGATCTAGAAACGTTCATCCTCCCATGTGAGAGTAGGAGGAAAGCATGGGATAATGGCGCCCCCTAGTGGGAGGATCCGTCTCCTACTTTAGGAAAGCTGGTCGAGGCTGGGACCTTCCCCACCACCACCCCGTGTGTAAGAAAACAGACTTTCCAAACAAAAGTCCTTTATAATGTGCCAGAGGAGGAGGCAGGATTGTGGACAAATCAGGGTGAAGCAGATTCTGGGTGCAGAGGCTGCTCGTCTGTGAAAATAGGAGGGTGCTCAGCGCTGCGCTTCCTCCCAGCCCTGGGACACTCTCTTCATGCCCCTCTCCACGCTCCCCCCAGCCCCCCAGATTTAGAGCAATGCTGCTCACACTGTGTTGGGAAAGGCTGGGGAGGATGAGGATAATGGGGTTAGCGAGAGACTGTTATGTGTGGTGACAGATACATTCCTGGACACCTCTGCTAAAACCTCAGAACATTTCCCCAGAGACTGCAAGAAATGATAATGATGTCTTTTTTTGGGGAATAATGATATTTACTAAACACATATTTACTGAGCATCAGCTATGTGCCAGGTATGTTCTATGTGCTTGGAGCATAACATGTCTACCCTGGTGGAGCTTGGATTTGAGCAGGGGACACAGAAAAGACACAATAATGGAATAAATAAAGTATAGGATATGTTGAAAGGTAAGTGCTGTGCACAGGGCAGGCCTCACTGAGAAGGTAGGGATTTGAGCAAGGAATTGAAGTAGGTGAAGGAGTTAGCCAAGTAGACTCTGCGGGGAGAGCACTCCAGCAGACGAATAGCTAGAACACAGCCTTAGCGTGAAACGAGCCAGGCCCATTTAGGGAGAGCAGTAGGCAAGGAATTCAGAGGCATAAGGGGGTGAGAGGATCATGCAGGGTCGTA